TTAATGAGTACAAATTCTATTAACGACAGCCTTACGAGAAACACATTTTGGTGCAAGCATCAGCTGATCGACTCGTCCGCCAATAATCGGTTCTATGTATACCTTTGTTTCCAGTGGAGTAAACATCGAGAAGTTATGCTCTTGAATATTTTTGCATTTTTATATTAAAATTATTGGTCATTCTGAAATTTAGTTAAGATATTGATAATATACAGTGCAGTGTGTTTTGAAATAAAAAAAATCTAGACCAGGATTTCGGAAGATTCGGACAAAAAATTTGGGGGTTATGGACTAAGAAGCATTCCCAAAACAGGGTGAAGGTAGTTTTAGCAGAATGTAAATTGCATTGCTGGAATCTTTGTAAGACAGTAAATAATTTGAATATAGACGTCATATATTTTGCACAAGAGATAAAAATTTTAGTCCTAAAGTGTAGTATATTTAAGTACATGTTTTTCATCTTGTATTTTTGGGTTGATGTACATAACTTTGTACATACTTTTTAAATAATTTTAAGGGAATTCTGTGAGTTGGAACTAATTACCCAATATCCCATTAAAATACAGTGACGCCTCGTTTAACGAACTGCCTTCCATAAGGATCTTCAATTCGGTTAACGAACAAAAATTCGGTTAACGAATTTCTTACGAACTGACCTCAACATGTTTTCGCTTGCACTGACCGGTCAACCAGCTTTAGTATCAGTCCGCCAATACATTAATCGGTTCTAGGGCTTAAATTCCTTACTATTTTAGTAAATATCAAGTAGTTTATACTATTCAATAATTTTAAAAGTTTAATATTCAATTTTTTAGTCATTTTAACAATTATTGAACATAATTGAAGGTAAAGTGACTAGTTTAATGTGCGGCATCCAGCCTCTTAACACAGCAAACAGGCGTTAGTCTCTCTCTGTCTTCACTGGAGGTAACATCTTGCTTGAGGCTCTCTTCAACTAAACGCTTTTTTTCTGTGTTTCCAAGCAAATTATTGGTCATTTTGAAATATATTTTACATATTGACAATATATAATGCAGTGCAGTGTTGATTTAAAGAAAATAATCTTGAATTACACCAAGAGAGCTAAAATTTTATGGGTGAAATGGCGCCATGGGGTGACTTCTCTTCCACCCCAATGCCTTCTCTTTTTCCTTCTCCTCCACCCCCATTCTAAATCCCATCATCATCATAATCATCCAGGAGCCTTCTACATACACACCTCAAAGTAAGTGAACTTTTCTACCATTTTTGTTGAATTTAGGAAATTTTCGGTGAGCTGGAACCAATTACCCAAAAACCCATTGAAACAATGGTTTTGGTTAACGAACGACCTTCTGGAACGGATTGAGTTCGTTAACCGAGGGGTCACTGTAATAGATTCAGTTTACGAGATTTTCAGTTAACGAGTGACTCTGTGGAACCAATTGTGCTCGTTAATGGAGGAACCACTGGGTATAACAGAAAAAAATACTGCACTGTCATTTAGCAGGAGATGGTGAGAGAGCAGAGCAGTGAGTGAGGAAATGCCAGCTGTAGCTCTCCCTCCCTCCCACCCTCAGTAAATGCTTCTACACACATAATAATTAAGTCCCTTTATGTTTTTGACCTTATGATAATAATTTTTTTTTTTTTGCATAATACAGTGTGTACTGTAGGTAGTAGGTAGTAGGCAGCTATCAAACAGGGAAGTACTACCGCCTGGGAAGATATTGGAAGCATAATGTATTGTCTAATGGTAGACCCTGCTGCCATATATGACCAAGTCCCAGGTTGCTGATCTGACTTTCTGCCTCATTTACACATAATTGCAGGGTCTCAATTGTTCCTCTTACTTTGACAACACAACATACATATACCGGGTATTGTTTCTCACTGTTGATTTTTTTTCTTTATAGTTCTTTTTTATTATTATTATCAGTATTATTTTATTTTAAATTTTGTATTTTTTATTATAAATTTTATTTAATATGAATTATTATTATTATAATTATTATTACATCCCCCCCCCTCCCCAAGGCTCTGATGTGGGTCTGTGACTTGTGCCCAGGTGGGCTAATCCCTGTAAAAAAAACACTGAAATAGGCCTAACAAGCCAAGTCGCCAGATGCGCTATTGACAGGTATATACAGGTTGTACCTCTCTAGTCCGGCAACCTCGGGACCTGACCGGTGCCGGACCATGGAAATTCACCCTTTTCCTAGACAGACAGTGACTTGTGCTTATGTTTGCACCACTTTCACTGCTGCATGGTCTCTTTGAAGACATATTGAAGGGTTAAATGTCGTACAGTAGCTTCTCAAATTTTGTGAGTTTTTAATTCAACGTTTTTTATTTGGACACACAAAAAAAAAACTACATAAATTAAAATTTTGACGGCGGAAACTCGAATTTCGACGGGTTTGAACGGCCCGCCAACGTTCAGACGACGTGCACAATCGTGTAAACAGCGTCATTTATCTATGTACAAAAGATTCATTATTGTTTATTACTAAATGTCTTTTATATTGAATTAATGTTTATGTGTGCAAAATGAGCAATACAATTCATTAATAATAAGTAGAATATTAAAACACACGAGGAAATGACACAGCATTGTTTTCGTTGATTACAAAACCAGTGACTGATTGGTTCTACATATAAAACAAGAAAATAAGACCCTGGTTGTAGCTGTAGTAAAGTTAATGTAAAAATTAATATGGTTGTTTGAAGTAATGTTATTTAATGTTAATAAATGGAACAATATAAGTAGCTAACCATTAATGTTAAAGAAAAAAAGTGAGATCGCATATGTAAGTGCACACAGGTGAAAACATATCGTCATTACTCTACATAAGAATATGAAAGCAACACTTATTTACTGTTCATATATATTGAAGGGTTAAATGTTGTACTCTGTATAGACAAACAGAGAGAGAAAGAGCCGAACTGCTGGATGTAAACAAATCTTAATTTTCCGCGGCTTTGTTGTTGTTTTTTTTTACGGGGATTAGCCCACCTGCGCACAGGTCACTGACCCACATTGGAGCCTGAGGGTCGAAAATGTAATAATCCTGTAATAATAATAATAATAATAATAATAATAATAATAATAATAATAATAATAATAATAATAATAATTAAGATAAGTAAAAAAAAAAAAAGCTGGTTATCTACCTATTTGGCAAATTAAAATCGTTCCGGACCATAGAATGCCGGACTAGAGAGGTACAACCTGTATAACCGTGTACAGTAAAACTTTGATAAATCGGACTTCAATACATCGGAATTCACTTTTTTCGGACTCTGTGAGGTGCTCTGGTCTCCAGAAATCCAAAAATACTAAGAAAAAAAATTGTAAGTCCAGTACAGTACAGTATATAGTTTAAGAAATGGGGAACATTAAATTAAATCGTATAAAAAGAACAACACTTACTAAATACTGTAAGCAAACTGGGGCTGATCAGGTGTTGCCCCATTCACCAGGTTTATTTATTTATTGATTCAGTATTATATTCTCATATGATTGGCCTCTTATGGTTTATGGCTCATCATGATTAACATAACATCTTCGGTAATAAAGAAAAAATACAATACTGTATGTAATTTGTAATATAACTTGAAAATAAAAGGATAAGCCGTATCAGAAAGTTATTTACTCAAGATGTATTCATGAGAGCTTTCAGCAGACCAGCTCACAACAGGGGTCACTATAACACACTGTATAGTATGTGATATGAAGATACCTTCTTAACAACGTTATGTAATACCTTTGAGTGTTATATGATGGCTTAATATGGCTACTTGTACACTTAGACAATTGATTAATGAATAAACCAGGGTATATGCAGATACATAATACTGTACACTGCAATATTACTTATTAAAGTGATGATAAATACACAACTTCACTGTATTAATTTAGTAAGTGTTGAAGACAGACATTGTGGTAAGCCAATCAGCTGTTTGCCCTTTGTAAACAAATAAGAACATAATAACATAAAAATGAAGGAAACTGCAGTGGGCCTATTGGCCTATACTGGGCAGTCCCATTTACACCCAACCCCTATTGCTCATATATCCATCCATCCTATGTTTGAAGCTATCCAGCGTATTTGCCTGAAGGAGTTCAGTCCTGAGGGCTACGTTCTCCCCCATGGCATTCAGTGTGGGATTCTTTTTTCAGGAAAGCTGATTCTTTAAGGAAAATATTTTATCAACCTGGCACCAACTGATCCTAAATTATATGAGAATTGTGGTGGAATTGCATAAAGAAGTGTTGAAGGAATCTTAGGGGAGAGAGGGGGAGGGAGCCACCCACCCATGCTACCACCCCTACCCTCTGCCAGCTGCTCCCAGATAAACATTCGTCTTCCACATACAATATACTCCTACACTTATTTTATCTTTATAGTACTGTACAGTATACAGTTTACTCTTTATTCATAAGACAAATACAGTTCTGTGGTTACTTACATATAACACTTTACAGTAAATAACAATCATCTGATGACAACAGTTGTTGACAACCAGACTTATGTTTGGTTTTCAACCCAGAGAGTTCGGTTTCATTGTTTTATTGTTGATGTAATATTCTTTTAATAACCTTCTTATATACTTAAAGACCTTAGTAGTTGAAGTGCAGTAAATGTAATATCATAACAACAACTGATTTTCTTTAAACAGTTCAGATAAGCAGTGCTTATTGAGGCCAACTAACTACCTCTGGTTGGCAGTACAGTGGTGGTACAGCAGTAATACATGTACCTCTCACTGCTGTGTAATGGGTTCAATCCCCACCCAGGACAGATGTGAGAAGGGTGCTATCCAGTGTGACCTTACCAAATATCACAGGTTTTCTCTAGGAACTCCAGTTTCCTTCTTTACTAATGCAGGACAATGCAGGTCATTAAAAAAAAAAAAAAAAACAGACTACCTACCCAAACAGATAGTAAGGTGATAGGTAGTTAGTTGAGCCACTCATTAAGGTAAGGATTGGGTATATGTTAACAAGAGAGACTTACCTTCGTGGGTCGTCACAGCTCCAAGGAGGCAGCTGGACATGGTGCACTCTTTCACCACTCTGTCGCACACCCATGTTAAAACCTGGAGAACAAGGCTCTGTCACTTGGTAAATTGCTTTGTAAATAATCATTGTGGGTTTCAAACTTAACTCAACAAAAAATTTTAAAAGAAAAATGTCTATACTGTCCTTTATGTTTTTCCCAGTTATTCAGGAGCTGTAAAAGGTAAACAATACTGCCTCACTTTATCCCTGTCAGTGTTCATATAATCCTCCAAACAGGGCTCACCATTTTTCACAAATTCCCAATTTTTGGATTTGCAAATGCTAAGAACATGCCCCCCCCCCCCAAAAGGAATATGACACCAGAAACTTAACCCTTTACTTGTTTAATCTATTACGAGAATAAAAGGTGAGAGAGAGAGAGAGAGCGGTGAACTTGCTGGCTTATTACTAATTTGTTTTGAAACAATGGTGGCCTATCAGTGTTATGTTTGTGGATAAGCCTTGCTGTTTTGACAAAAATGTAAAATCTTATTTTGTTCAAAATTGCATTGCAATTAATCTTAATTAAGGACTTGAGGTCAAAACTTATACGTACTCAGATTAATTGTTATAATGATTTGAAATATTTAAATTTTGGGGACAGCCCTAATTACTGGAACTTGCTATGTGTAATTTTTTGGAAGTGAATTTAGGTGTGTCAGTTATTTTGGATGTACTAAAATATTTAAATAAGTTAACTTCCAATTCCATGATAAGAAGTGTTTCTTCTGCTTTCACCAAGTACTTTACAATATAAGGTCTTTGTACTGTATCTCTAAAATGCTTCAGAAATGTGAAGTATTTCTCTATCCAATGCATTTGATTAGTTGGCTGTCTGCCTTTCAACACCCTCCTTATGTATATAAGTACTGAATTAAGATTGTGTACATTTACCTTCTGAATTTAGAAAAATCTCAGGAAGGAAGAAAAACTCAGGAATGAGCTCTTTGAAATCTGTTGTGGAGTCACAGGAAGCAAGCCGCCATGTGGTTTGTACAGCGTGGAAAGTGCGATCCGGGATGTCAAAGTTACCATCTGCAAATATAGAATTCCTTTTAATGTACAGTATCCTGTATTGGTACACGTTTGAAAAAGAATAACAGAGCAAATGTGAGGTGACAGCTGCAGTTTGTAGACGACACTATTCTGATGAGCGATTTAAAAAAGTTGCTTATGGTAGTGAATGATTTTGGAAGAAAGTGTTGTAGATAGTTAAGAGTGCAGGGGCAGATCCAGGAATACCAAAAAGGGGTGTCCAAGAAATCATGGGTGGGGGAACACGGCGAGGCGAGGTGAGCACAGCGAGCCCACCCAGCTGTGAGCCCCCACCCAGAAAACTTGTGAAATCTAACCAATATATGATGGCCATTTTGAGCCATGTGTACTTGATATTAGAAGATATTCTGAGGTCAATAGTACTGTAATTACTTTTTACTATACAAAAATGCCTGAGTACAATACTGCATCAATGAATAAGTATTGGAATTTTTTGATGAAAAGGGGGAGGGTCTGTACCCCCAGGACCCTCCCTGGATCTGCCCTTGGAGTACTTACCGTATGAAGAAAATTAAAGTGATGAACATAAGTAAAAAGAAAGTCAGATCAGCAACCTGGGACTTGGTCACAATTTTTGTGATGCCATATGGCAGCAGGGTCTACCATTAGACAACACATTATGCTTCCAATATCTTCCCAGGTGGTAGTACCTCCCTGTTTGGTAGCTGCTGACCTATCGGTCAGGTCAGTTCACATTGGTCAGTAGTGGAGTATACCTCTACATGGTCTACTGCACAAGCTTTCTCTACTTGTTTCTCCATCATTACCCAGTGTTTGAGTCATTATATCATAACCCTGGACCAAGCATCTCAAAAAGAGCCTCTAAGAAGAAACCTATCCAGTGAAGGGGCACATACAAGAGCTTAAACATCCAAGATAATATATAAATTTTTATTTGAGCAGATCAAGGAAAAGTACCATTGTTTTTTGTTTAGTTTTTTCCCTTGGGAGGTGTCCCTCATATTTTGTAAAATCTTGTAATTTGTAAGGGCTAGAGACCATTTTATTTCGAATTATGGGTTTTTTACTGTATTGGCTTTAATGGGGATACTGTCTAAACAGATTTGATATAGGCCTGATGAGAGTTTATAGGTACAAGAGATGACACTTCATGTGTAAATGTGCTGGAGGTGGATGGGTGAGAATGGCCATTGCCACATTCTCCAGTTTGTTTTTATTTAATCATTACTATTACAAATAATATAACATTAAATAATAAAAAAAACTATAATACCTGTATATAATTTGTAACTTGACTTCAAAATAAAAGGACAAGCTGTATCAGAAGATAATCTCTTCCCTGACCACTGATCCTCTCCCTCTGTGAAGGCCTGACTATTATTGATTCATTATTACTATGTCTGCGGACCATAAGTCCACGTCGACAATACTTGTGAGTATATAAGGAAAAAAGTTATCATAGTGTTGGATGGATATATTTTCAGCCCGCAAGAATAAAAGCGGCTGAACGTACAGTATTCTCTTTCAGTAGATCATGCTGGGCTTATATTTAGGCCTAAAAGATCCTGATTGGACAGCCATAATTTTGAGAATCAGTTACTGATTAATCTTAAAAGAAAAATTTACAAATAAACAAATGTAATGCTGTGTCTTTTATTTTTATCTTTATCTAACTACAGGTGCTCCCTGACTTACGACCACATGGACTTACATCCATGGGTACTTACGACCTGCTCTGACCTTATGACCGTTGGGACGTACGACTGCGACCGTCGTGACCAAAAATATTTTCAAATGATGCGCGCATTTTCTATACCGAAACGTTTCTGTCCCGGGCGAGAGGGTGGTTTGTCTCGGGTCGCCTCGTGGGTTCACTCACTCAGTGGAGCGCTTAGTTGGTGTTTGGCTATCGTATTTTATACTGATCGCGCTGTGAACTTTCATTATTATCGTATTTAATTGACTTTATAATGACTGGAAAGCGTAAAAGTGAGAGTGCTGGTGGTGCTCCAAGGAAAAGGAGACAGGCAATTACTTTTGAGATGAAAAAGAAGATAATAACTCAGCATGAGAAAGGAAAAACAGTAGCAACGATCTCACGTGACCTAGGTTTCTCACACTCGACCATATCCACTATTCTGAAGGACAAGGAACGTATTCGTGAAGTAGTGAAAGGAACAACACCTATAAAGGGAACTATAATATCAAAGAGAAGACAAGGTCCTATTCACGATATGGAAAAATTATTGGTGATATAAATAGAAGACCAGATACAGAAGCGTGTACCCTTAAGCCTTCTAACCATACAGGTTAAAGCAAGAAGCCTGTTCCAAAGCCTGAAGGAGCAGGCAGGAGATGAATGTGATCAAACCTTTACAGGAAGTCATGGGTGGTTTGATAGATTTAAAAAACGCTACAGTCTACATAATGTTAAGGTGAGTGGAGAGGCAGCTAGTGCCGATGTTGGTGCTGCCGAATCTTTTAAGGAGGAGTTAGATGATGTTATTGTGGAAGGGAATTATTTGCCTGAGCAAATATTCAATGTGGATGAGACTGGATTATTGTGGAAGCGCATGCCTGAGCGGACATACATCCACAAAGAGGCGAAAACAATGCCCGGATTCAAGGCATTCAAGAACAGAATTACACTTCTGTTGGGGGTGAATGTTGCTGGTTTCAAGCTAAAGCCCTTCATGATCTATCATTCAGAGAACCCCAGGGCTTTTAAACATGTCAGCAAGCACACACTGCCAGTGTTTTATCGCAGTAACAAGAAAGCCTGGATGACCCTAGTACTGTTTGAGGATTGGTTCATGACTTGTTTCATTCCACGAGCCAAGGAGTATTGTCTGCAACAAAGGATTCCATTCAAGATTTTACTGATTTTGGATAATGCTCCGGGACACCCACCACACCTGGACGACATGCACCCTGATGTTAAGGTAGTGTACATTCCACCTAACACTACCTCTATCATCCAACCCATGGATCAAGGTGCTATTGCTGCCTTTAAAGCGTATTATTTACGCACGACCTTCGCTCAGGCTGTTGCTGCTACTGAAGGTGAGAAAATGCTCAGAGAGTTTTGGAAGGAGTACAACATTTTGTCATGTATAAAGAACATTAGTGCAGCATGGGATCAGGTTACAAAACATTGCATGAATGGAATATGGAAGAAAATCCTGAAAAGATATGTGAACAGTTTCAAAGGATTTAATGAAAATGAAGTTATTTCGGATATTAGTAACAAGATAGTGGAGTTAGGTAAACAGCTGGAGTTAGAAATTGATAATGAAGATGTTGGACAGTTGGTTGAAAGTGTAGCAGAAGAGCTCAGTAACGAGGATCTTATTGAACTAGATGCACAGAAAATTGCAGAGGAAGAAGAGAGACAAAATGTAGAAGAAGAACCTGCACCCCCCAAAAAGTTTTCAGTGAAACATATGGCAGAGGCATTTGCTACAATTAATAAAGCAATGCAAATGTTTGATGGCATGGATCAAAATTATGAGCGTTATGCCAAAGTTGACAGAACGATCCAAGATGCACTTGCTTGCTACAGAGAAATTTATAATGAAAAGAAAAAGCAAACTGTGCAGTCTAAATTGGACATCTATTTCAAGAAGTCCCCCAGTGCTGTCTCCTCACGCCCCACCAGTGCTGCCTCTTCACTCCCTCAAGATGATCCAATACCTTCAACCAGCAAGTTTCCACAGCACATAAACCTGTCTGAAGAAAGCGACATTGATGACCCACCCAGCCCTGTCTCCTCTTCCGCTTCTTCCAATTAATATACTGTAGTCCCCATGTATCCTGTAAATAGAAAATTATGGGGGCCCTGTGTGCATTCAGCTGACTACATTTAAGGTAAGTGCTCAGTCACACTGTATCCATTCCTCATTATTTATTACTTTTACTGTACTGTATCCATTTCTCATTATTTATTACGTTTAGTGTACTGTATTTCATTGTAGATTTTAATTTTTTTTTTTTTTTAAATATTTCAATTTTTTTTATTCATTTTTTTATCTATGTCGGACTTACGACCTGGATTTGGGTCCCTAACCCCGTCGTAAGTCGGGGAGCAACTGTACTGTTTCATAATTAACTGTGGATTTATTTTAATATTTGAGGCAAATAATAATTTTGTTGTTACTTGTTACTTTCAGTACTTGAGTACTCTATGAATGGGATACTTTTTTCTTCTTTACATTCACATTTGGATACTTTTACATAAGTAACAAAGTCCAGTTCTTTTTACAACTCTGTCTATTGGTTAAGGACAAAAGTGTGATGGGGACTGCCAAGCGTCGGCACACTGGGCCATCTTACTGACCATATTGTAAGAGTCGAAGCTTTTTTTTGGATGGTGGTCTGCTTCAATTAGCCTCAATTAGCCTAGTTTATTGAGGTGCTACTGTATTGTAGAATAAAATTTAGAATAGACATTGAGTTATCAGATCAAAATGGTTTTATAAACTTATAGATGTCTTAAAAAAAACATAAAATAGGCATTAATGAATGAGATATTAGAACTCTAAAAAAAAAACTTTACTGATAACAGGAGGCTGCAGTACAGTACAGCTACTCCTCGACTTATGACCTACTCGACATACGACCACCCGGACATACGACCGCCTCGTTGTACCAAAAATTTTTCAAATGACCTATGTATTTTCCAGTACCGAAACGTTTCCGTCCCATACGAGAGCTTGCCGTGGGCTGAGCCCCCTCGTGGTGTACAGCGTCCACGCCACAGCGCGCTCAGTTGGTGTTTGGCCGTCGTTGTTGTTGGTAGTGATTGTGCTGTGTACTGACAATATTTTCGGTTCTAATTCCCTTTAAAATGACTGGCAAGCATAAAAGTGAGAGTTCTGATGGTGCTCAGAAGAAACAAATGGCAGAGGCATTTGCTACTATTAATAAGGGGATGCAAATGTTTGACAAAATAGATCAAAATGTTGAGCGTTTTGCAAAAAATGACAGAATGATCCAAGATGCACTTGCTTGCTACAGGGAAATTTACAATGAAAAGAAAAGGCAAACTGTGCAGTCTAAATTGAACATATGTTTTAAGAAGTCCCCCACTGCTATCTCCTCACGCCCCACCAGTGCTGCCTCTTCACTCCCTAAAGATGATCCAATACCTTCAACAAGCAAGTATGTTACCCTGTCTGAAGAAATCGACATTGATGACCCACCCAGCCCTGTCTCCTCCTCTGCTTCATCCAATTAATGTAGTCTCCATGTTGAAATTAAAAAATTATTGGGGCTCCTTGTGCATTCAGCTGACTACATTAAAGGTAAGTGCACAGTAACACTTTATTCATTTTTCATTATTGATTACTTTTACTGTACTGTATTTCATTTTAGATTTTCTATGTATTATTTTTTTGCATTTTCAACTTACGACCTGGATTTGGGTCCCTAACCCCGTCTCATTTTACGTGGGTCTCGCCTGTGCAGCAATCGCTTATGCAGTTGGTTGAAATGTGACCATAGTTATAGCTTACGCGGATAGCCATGGGTAGCGTAGGTAGTGGTATTGCATTAATTTTGTAAACTTTTGCTTATTTAGCCCCAAATTTATCAATTTTGGTAATTTTAGTTATTGAACATTATAATGTATCAGTACTGTAATGAATAAATTAAAAAAATGGCAAGGTGAAGAGATCAGTGGTCAGGGTAGAGATTATCTTCTGATTAGCTTGTCCTTTTATTTTTAAGTCAATTACTACAAATTATACATCATATTTTGTTCTATTATTTAATACTGATGTTAGAATATTTATGGTGAAACATACACCATAACAGGCTGATCATACGAGAATAAATAATGAATAAAAGATAAAAAAAAAAGCAAATGCGGCAACGTCCAGTCACGTCCACCATGTTTACGCAGGAAGTGTTATCTATTGTATCTGTTAGCTCTCATTAGGCAATATATCAAATCAGATTAGACCACTGTACATTATTCCCATTAAAGACAATAGATACATTACAGTGAAACCTCGCTTTACGCGGACAATTGAACCCACGGAGGCCCGCGTAAAGCGAGAAACGCGTAAAGTGAACAACATAACATATGGGATTAATTGAAATAGAGACTGGGCCGACCACCAAACTCCGCTTTTTCCCGACACAATACGGACGTTTTACTAAAAATAACATCTTAACTTTATGATGGTATGCACACACACATAATATAGAAGGGAACAATCAATAAGAGAATAATATACTGTAGGTTAGGTTAGAAAAAAACAAGGTTAGGGTTAACACTTACGTTACTAGAAGAGATGGGTCGGTGTATGGGAATGGAGGCTGGTTCCGAGGCAGAGGGCAGGCTACTGGCCCTCAGGTGGGTCATCATCACTGTCATCCACACTTATTAGTGCCTCCCTGACACATCCCTCAAAGTCACCATCACACAGCCTGTCACACTATCACTGGCTTGCAGGGTGGCTGTGGTGGGTTCTTGAGCAAAAGAACTCAGCTTCAATGTAACTGATGGCTGGTGTTGTGATGTTGTCATGATACACCTTGATGTGAGGGCTCCATGCCTGGCCACCCAACAACTGGGTAGTGAATTTCATACCGATTATCGTCAGAATTAAATCGAGGAAAGGAGGAGCTTCAGTTTCTCTACACTCGATGGCACCCCTTACATTACATCACGATAACTAGATTCTTTGCTTGGGATAGCGCACCACCTGCCTCTTCACTGGCGATGTCCATCATCTAACATCTGCGTCGGTAGTCACATCAGGATCATATCACACCTCCATAATGTAAATTAGATTGGTGGTCTCGGGAGAAACCTTTGGCTGTAGCACTCTCGCGCAGCTTCTTTGGCAAGGTCCGCTGCTACTGCAACAGTCTGAACCTCACGATGCAGACTGACTCTGCCTCCTGGAATACCTTTTAACCGTCTCCATCGCGTGCGACGAGCCGTTGCTACAGACAGCTGATCCCTTTCACAAGAAGTCCCAGCTTTCTTGACGTTGAATTTTCTCCAAAAGTGTTTCACAAAGTGCTTGCTCTGCCAACCTGTTTCCATTCTCGTCCTCTCCTCTCGCTCTTGCTATCGGTGTCACCCAGGTTCACATAACACATCCTTGGTGTTGGTATAGTCGTTCAGGGCAAAAGCTTCTTCCACAGAGAATGCAGCTTTCACATTGCAGAATTAATTCTTGGTCCATGGGCTGGATTAATGGCGTAGTGTTTGGGAGAGAAGACCACTTTTGCGTTGGGGTGATGATCCAACGGTAAAGGCCAGTATCCTGAGTCGTTAATCGAAAGCAGCAACAAAATCTTAGATGGAACATTCCTAATGCTCACAAGAATTTCTTCACATAGGGAACGAAACATTCATCAAACCAGGAGAGGACAGAGTAGAGAACATCCACACGCCTTCTGTCGATCAGCCAGTTGGGGCCATTTAAGCAGTCATGTCCATGCTCTTGGCGTCTTGGCTTAAGTGCCTATGTGGATCACGATAACCAGGCTTACAGGTGCGGAGGCATTGGTGAAGTAAACAGGGCGGTGATGCGCTCCATCTGCAACTTCGGCCCGACACTTGCTGGCAGTCTGCGACAGAAGGGTCTTTGGAAGGTAGCTTTTTCCAAAAGACCAGACTAGTCCATGTTGAACACCTGGTCATCGGTGTACTGTCCTTCCTCATAATCTCACATAAAGGAAAATCCTAACCATAACATAGTCCTTCCGTCATCTTATTCCTCTTGACCTCTGCAACCACCCAGAGGGAAGCATTGAGGTTTGGGCTCTGCAATTCCCCATCTTGTGTGAGCTTTCTTTCAGGCGTGTCACGCCATGTTCACGTTAGCCTGGCGGTCAAGTAGCTCACAAGTAATTTCTCGTCTTGAGAAGCACCTTGGTGTGGCAGTATGATCATTGAGCACTTGTAGTCTTTGTGATGTTCATGTGCTCTTTTTATTTTGGCTGCATCCTTCTTGATGCGTCTGGATCGTAGATTCGATTAACACACCATGCTGGTAGCCTTGAGATCAACCTGTCTTGTTCCTTTCTCAACTCTTCGGATGATCTTGTATTTAATTTGGTAACCGCAGACGCGTAAGTAGCATAACTGCTTTTGGCTTAAGGCGGCTGGGTCCAGGTAATGCAAAGGTTTTCCTTGTGGTGGTGGTGGTGGTCGGTGGCAATATCTTATGGAACAATAATACCCGATGCTGGGTGTAGCCGGAGGTGTAACTGATCTTGGGTAGGTCAGCAAGACTAGCGGCTCGGCGGCGGGCATGTCGCCATTACATTAAACCAATCACAGCTAAGCGGGAGGTAAGGATGTGGCTAATCACGATTCGTCGTCATCTGACGTCACGATAACATAACAAAGGCATACTTTCATAACCTACCCGCGCCGCTTACCCAACATGGCGGGATGGCTGGAGAGATGGCGGGAGGTTTGAATCCAAAAATGGCGCGGCGTGAGATGACCGCCAGCCGCTCTCCGCGTAAAAGAGTACACGCACCGCATAAAGTGAGCATTCCGGGTCTGGCAGGGTACCACGTAAAAAAAAAAAAAAACGTGTAAAGCGGGGTAATACTGTATATATTTAATAATAAATAAAGTAATAGATTTTATATAAACAAATTAATGAACTGTATTACAGTATACTGTACTACTGATTTTCATCCTCGGAAACTCGTTTCCATGCACAGAATAGAGAGAGATTTCCCGGAAATTTTCTGGCTATTGGTGGGCCCCGGGGACCAGGGATTCCGGCTACTGTATTTCTGATATCCAAACCTTGAACGAACAAACATTTTTTCTGCAAATTTTTTAAAACTAATGACTATCATCTAATGTAATGTGGAGAAGACCAGAACTATTCAATTGCTTTTCATGATTGTTGCAAGCCTTAATCCAACTTAAAGGAATAAATTGACTAAAATGATAATTAAATGCTGTAGTTAAGTCCCAAGGGTCTGTGAACTAACAACTCCCCAGTGCTCTCACCCTGATATCGAAGGAATAGCTGCGTGAATGGTGGAAGTCGAACCAGGAAGTGGAGGACAATACCAGAATTGCTGTAGTGTGAGCCATAGTGGTAGGGTCCATTCCCTGCATTCTGGCTAATCTGTGTTGTTATCTGTCAATGTGAGATGGTTATTATTATCACTGATGTGCGAGTTGAAAATACACAAGAAAAAGTTTATTATTTTACAAATAAGTAATGCAGCTAAAAATTTCACTTCATATTTCCATGATTCCTGATATTTTCAATGGTAAAGTATGGTGAACACTGTATGGCTAAGATATTTTTTGTTTTATCTTGTTATCTATAACACCAAACTCCCCCAGTGAGCTTCCATCTCATAAGGTGTTCAAGACTACAGAGTCTCTAGGATGCTTTATTACTGTACAGCATTTTTTTTTTGCTTTATAGATAACCTCCACTACTCATACCCACCTGCTACACTGCCTATTTATGCCCTCTTTACCATCCTAACAGCTGGTATTCTTTTCACACGTCCATACCATCTTTGAGGACCTCTCTTCACCCATACCACCACTACATAATTCACACCCTCTACACTCTCAGGCCTTCTAAGCATCCCAAACACTTCACCTTTTTCATACTGTTATACTCAGTTGAGTCACTTCTGTAGACTGAATTTGAGAGAATTCTATTTCATTCGAAGTCAAGGTAGGAATTATATTATCCCTCAGTTCCTCCCTTACCGTCAAGCTTACATTCCTTCCCTTAGTATTACCTCCCATCTCTCTAATCATTCTCCTACCACGACCTGGTCTCTCCATTGTTTTAGTATCCATCATATCATTTTAACACAGTAATAGTATCAATTACAAATATCTTATTTTATTAACTTCCTATAATATTACTCTATTTGTAAAAATAATACATTTTAGTTCTGTTAGATTTTCTGTCTAACTATCTACTAAATCTCTTCCTCTTCTGTATGGGGTGGATCAAGGAGTACAGAAACATCAAACAAAGAGAGGAAAAAGTTGGTGAGATGTTCCAAGACAAGTGTAGAGTGACCAAAGATGGAAAATACATGTACCATAACTCAACATACACTAGTGAGTATTCTTAACTTTCCCACACTAGGTAGAAAGAAAATAATAATTATCTATATATGATCACCTAGAACAAATCCCATAATTCACAGCCAGGACAACCTATTATAAAGTAAAGTCACTACATAGCACAAATTACCCAAGACACTTACCTCATAGTTATTCATGTAGTGCTGCTCTTTATGTGGACGTTGAACAGCTATTGGTTTTCTCAAATTTCTGCAATAAATCATTGTGCACTAAACAAGACATCTATTTACCATGCCATATATTGTAATGCATTCAGACAAAGCCAACTGATTGCATTTTTTTTCCTTGTAAATTTTTTATACATGCACCTCATAAATAATCACTCCTGAACCTCCTTTTTGTTATACTGTAAAGTGTCTGAAACTATCAGGAAACACAGGCTCTCTCTTCTTTTACTGTCACTGATTAATTATATAATACTATATATGCAGATTTATGCAGTGAGTAAGGGTCAAACAAGCTCTTACCTGAAGTTAGTCGGGTCATTCAAATTGAGAATATTTGTTGTATAGTTAGAAAGAATGAACGGGAATACAGGATACTGCATCAAGTCGTTAAATGAACGACCTGCAAGCTTGTTCAGCTGAGTAAGATACTCAAAATTTGTCATGTGCCCTGCAGGAGAAACAGAACATTTTTCTAAGAATATTAAAATATCTAACAGTAAGCAAAAAACTAAATTCAGGTACATGAAAAATAAAAAAATAAAATAAAAAATCTACACAAAGTCTGCCAACACATATTCTTATGCAATTAAATTTTCAATCTTTACCTTTGTCTCCATCTTTCTTTCTTGATGTGACTCTCCATCTATCTGTCCATTTCTATCTTCCTCTATACATGCACACATGGACTGATGAAGGTGTAAAAACGTTCAACTCAAACTTTTTTAATGAGATATGAATTAATGAAATGTGAAAATTAATTTGATATGGCAGCTTCCATTGACAGCAAAGGATTACCACGATGAGGGATTGAACCACCAACCTTCTCGCCACTGTGCCGTTACTTCTGGGAGTGTGGCCTTACTCGACAGATTTGGCATATCCGACATACTCAACATTCCAATCACCTGCAATTTCAGATTTATATTAGGCCACATGAAAACAATACAAGGAAATTGAGGTTATGAAGATGTGGACAGTCTATTGTTGTCTAAATGAAAATCATGATCAAACTTCTTCCACTGCTCAAAGAAATAACAGAAAATTACTCTATATGACCAAGTAACTAATTACCCATGAAGCACCACAAACTCTGAATGGCCTTCATGATTCTAGGCCTTCCAGGGCAATGTCCACAAATACTGTAGCTTATTAACAATGAAATCTTTCATGCAGTAAAGCTACACCAGGAGGCAGAGTCATGCTCAGTTTATAAATCACTAAGAATATACAGTACAGGGTACTTTATATTATCCTAAGTTAATACAAGTACAAAGTTATTTATATCTATTTTATATTTCTTGTACCTGGACCTGAGTTTGATTAAGTTATATATTTAGGGCAACATTATTATAAAACATTTGATTATTTAGGTTTTGACTGAAGTTCTGTTCCAACTGTAAATTATTATTTTTTACACAAATCTGTATATGAAGAAAAACTACAGTTTAAAGAAATAATATGTGGTCTACAAATGTGAACTGAAATGAAATACAAACAATAAAAAAAATAAAAAATAATAATTTCAGGAAAAACAAGCCTTTCTCCTTCTATGAATGACAAAGGTTTCATAACTTTTATACTGTGTACACATACTGTACAGCTAAAAAGTAAATTTGTTTCTAGCGTGTTCACAGTTGTGATATTTCATAACTATTCTACAAAAATTTGTCATAAACAAATCTTACTGAATAATAAGTATTTTTTTATAAATATTTCTGAGTATAAAAACTTACAGACAATGTCTCACCTGATTACGATGCTGTGTGTCAGTAAAGGCTAATAAGACTGAGTGGCCAGTAGTAAGGAACAGCTCTAGGGCACAGTCTTGCAGTTGAAATCTTCGAATATGGATTTCACGAACATTGTCAAGAGGCCAAGTAACTGACACAACCTCACTACTACTGCCACCCTGTAAGTATATCAAGATCTTCATCACTAACATACATATGTATCACTGTTTTGTTGGAAAACCTCCTCAAAGTGAACAATATCTAATATCATAGATAATGCAATGCTTATTAACATACAGGCACAAAGCAATATATATATATATGTATCACCTTGTTGCTTACCTGTTTAAACAGGAAAAATACACAAACATAAATACAGTCAACCCTCGCTTTACGCGGTCCCACTTTACGCGTTTCCACGTTTACGCGGTACCCTGCCGAAACCGGAATGCTCACTTTCCGCGGTATGTGTACCCTTTTACGCGGAGAGCAGCGCGAGCAGGGTGCGCACAAGGTCGCCCAGTCATCAAAACATTACCGAGTTCTTCACCCGCCACCCACCACAGCCGGCCCAAGTCAGTGATAGTGATAATGATAGTGAGGATATGACTTATATGGACTTTGAGGGGTTTGACAAAGAGGCCCTGCAAGCCTCTGTGGCGGATAGTGATACAATTGATACAAGTGATACAGGTGAGGGCCAATAATCTGCCCTCTGCCTCGGAACCAACCCCCCATCCCCGTGTGCCCAGCCATCTTTTCTACTAATGTATGTGTTAAAAAACCTAATATTATTGATATTTCTCTTAATTATTAATTGTGTGTGCATACCATCATAAAATTAAGAAGTAACTTTTACTACAACGTAGGTATTGTGTCTGAAAAAGTGGAGTTTGGGGGTCGGCCCGGTCTCTATTTCAACTAATCCCATATGTTATGTTGTTCACTTTACGCGTTTCTCACTTTATGCGGGCCGCCGTGGGTTCAATTGACCGAGTAAAGTGAGGGTTCACTGTACAAGCAACGGCCGTTGTACACTGGACCAATATGCGTTTGATAACTTTTATGATGTAAAAAAAATTAACACCATTTCCCACTATGTGATGACTAGGCTTAGGATAATTATGCATTTGCATATGTGCATATGCAAATGCATATTTAAGCCATTTTTTAGCTAAAGTGCATATTCATATTTTTTTGTTTTATAAGGCATATATTTCGAAAATTCCAAAATATTATAAAACATTCTTCAACCTCAAGGGTCAAAAAATTCGCGAGCATAACAGCAACGCTGGGGCAGAAATTACTGATATTTAAAATATAATAAATGTCCATTTTGTTGCACTAATACAAAATCGAAAATACGCGATTTTGTTTTAGCGTCATAATATCCAAAAGGAACATACTTAAGTGACGTTTATATAGCTCAACATTAGGCTGTGGTTAGCTAGGCCGTGATGGGCTGCTCAGTGGACATGAACTGTACGTGATGGGTTCGTGTTCAGCCAGGCAGGGTATAGATGCACGGGCTCCTTCGGCTACTGACACTCTTTTGTTTTTCCGTTTTCTTAAAAGGAAAATACTTTTTTCAGTATTGTTTAATAAATTACTTTATGTGAGTATATTGTTGTTTGTATTTAATCCTTCTTTAAAAAATCCTACTTCGGCGACATCCTGTCTGGGAAAGTAAATTTACTGAGAAAATTTACAGAAAAGGAGTCATTAACTTGGTAGTTATTATTTATTAACATATTTGAAAGTGCATATTTAAGTGCATATTTTCTCAGTTTTTACTGCATATTTGCATGCATATTTAACCATATTTAAATGCATAATTATCCTAAGCCTAGTTATTACACACTTCGTAGCGATGCTTGACTGGGTCTTTGGCAAGGAGGAGCTTCAATCTCTCGGCTGCCACGATGATTTCCTTCATATCAGCATGTGTTAGTTTCTGCTCTTGTTCTTCCGCCGTAACACCTGGCTGCTCACTGACGTCATCATCTTCCAACATCTCGTCCGCAGTCACCTCAGGTTGCCTGATTACCTCCAGGATGTCGTCGTTGGTGGTCTCGGAGAAGCCTGCAGCTCTAACACTTTGTGCAGCCTCTCTTGCAATGTCCAATGCCACAGCAACAGACTGAGCCTCACCAGCCACCGCTTGCCTCTGCCTCCCACCTGGGATACCCTTCAACACATGCCGCCACGCGTGACGAATCGTTGCCACAGACAGCTGCCCCCATGCCTCCACCAAGACCAAGAAATCAACAGCCTTCTTCATGTTAAACAGTTTCCAGAACTGTTTGACTCGCACTTCATGGTCTGCCAAATCTTGTTCTAGATCCTAGTCCTCACTCTCGCTATCGGTGCCACTCAGGAGGTTCTGCAATTCATCCTTGGTGTTGGTGAAGTCGTTCAGGAGCCGAAACTTCTTTGCGGAGAAAGCAGCCTTCACGTTGCAAATCAACTCCTGATCCATGGGATGGATTAACAACATAGTGTTAGGGAAAAGGAAGACCACTTTTACGTTGGGGTGACGATCCAGCAATAGGGGCGAGTGTCCTGGTGCGTTGTCAAGGAGCAACAAAATGTTTAATGGAACATTATTTTGCTCGCAGAATTTCTTGACATCAGGAACGAAACAGTTGTCAAACCAGGAGAGGGACAGAGCAGTGAACATCCATGCCTTCCCTGAGGTTAGCCAGTGGACATTTAACTTGCTCATGTCCATATTCTTGTATGCATGCGGCTTGCGGGCTTTATGGATCACCGACAATTTCAGCTTACAAGTGCCAGAGGCATTGGTGGTGAACAGGACGGTGATGCGCTCCTTCTGCAATTTTCGGCCCTGACACTTGCTCACAGACTTGACTACGAAGGTCTTGGATGGTAATTTTTTCCAAAACAACCCAGATTCATCCATATTGAGCACTTGGTCATAAGTGTACTGTCCTTCCTCCACAATTTCTCATAAAAATGGGGGAAAATTCATGGCAGCAGCCCGGTCGGCACTAGCTCCTTCACCGACTATCTCAATGTTCATGATCTTATTATGTCGTTTGAAACCTTGCAGCCACCCAGCGGAAGCAGTGAAGGGTTATGGCTCTGCAACTCCCACTTTTCAAGCCACTGATTGGTAGAGTTCTCTAGCGTAGTCCTGCACTGCCCGAGTGTCGACCGCCATGTTCCTTCTTGACTGACGAATCAAGTAGCTGACCAATAAACCCTCAGTCTTCAGCAGCACCTTATTGTGGCAATATTTCACCATCGAGGCACCTACAGACTTTGTAATGCTCATGTGTTCTTTGATCTTGCTGGCATCCTTCTTGATCGTGTGGATCATCGATTCATTCACTCCATATTGTCGGGCTAGATCCACCTGCCTCGTGCCTTTTTCTAACTCCTGAACAATCTTGTACTTAATCTTATAGCTTAAGGCGCGTCGCACCTTCTTGGGCTTGGGGCGGCTTGGGCCAGGTAGTTCAAGGTTTCTCGGGGGTGGTGGGGGTCCAGCGGAAGCCATTGTTGAACAGGTTAGCGGGCACGAGGGAGCACTGTGTACGCAGAGACGGAAGACAATGGGACTGACGCAGCTAAGGTCAGCGACTTATTCCCTCCGGTGGCAGGGCACGCAAAGTTAAATAGACCAATCACAACTCGCGGCGGAGGGGATGCGTGGGTGGTAAGGATACGTGGCCCAATCACAGTCCGAAACATCATCGGCACGAGTCTGACGTCAGCGGTGACGTCAACGCGACCTAGCGCGCAGCTTGCCCGAGCCGCTTCCTGTGTAAATTCAGGAATGTACCGCGTAATTAATAATTGGCGCGTCTGGACAGGTGCCGCGTAAATGACCAACCGCGTACAAAATATCCGCGTAAACCGAGACTATACTGTATTATCATCATCATTATTATTATTATTATTATTACATTTTTGCCCTCCGGGCCCCGATGTGGGTTAATTAAAAAAAAATTAAATAAAAAAATAAAAAAAGGGAATTACTGTATGGTGAAATTGCATGATGTCGTTATAAAAGGATTGTGGACTGCTGAGCGGGAGGTGGTGAGTTGTCCTCCCTCTTCCGCCACCCCTCACCAGCTACGCACTGAAACACTGTTTTGTATCTTAATATAATTCATAGTTTATTCCTATAATTCATTCATCTTATCTATTTCATAATATATTCCTATAATAATAATTATTGACTTTTCGGAAGCTCACGGTCATTTCAGATTCATTCCGAATTCAAATTGTTTAGATAATTTTAAAGAGAAAAAAAAATCATATGAATTAAGTCAAAATCCAAATTCTAATGATCCAAATAAATGAGGGTACGGTGTACGTGTAACAGAGAAAAAAAAATTGAAGAAAATTATGTATACTGTAAGTACAATATCTACCCAAAAAATAATAACATAGCTCACGGTTGGAGTGAGGTTGACAGACTGACACTGCACCCCTCTCTCGCTCCCCCTCCCATGATTTACATGGGAGCTAAGAAATTTTTATTCCCTTCATTTTTGTTTGGCACTTTCTATAAGGAGCTTCAATTCGGTTAATGAACAAAACTTCAATCATCGAAAAACTTACGACAAACACGTTTTGTTGGAGCATCAGCTGATCAGCTGATGGGCTAGTCTGCCAATTCAGTAATCTGTTCTATGTTTACATTCGTTTCCAGTGGAGTAAATATCAAGAAAGTTGTTCTCTTTAATATTTTTGCATTTTTTAGTCATTTTAAAATTTAGTTAACATATTGATAATATATGCAGTACAGGGAAATAATTTTTTGTGCGCCCATGAGCCACTTGACTCACCCACCAGGCATCTGTTTGGCTTTGTTTACAGTGGAGTAAACATCGATTTTGTTGGTGTCTTGAATATTTTTGCATTTTTATATTAAAATTATTGGTCATTCTGAAATTTAGTTAACATGTTGATAATATATAGCACAGTGCAGTGTTGATTTAAATAAAATAATCTTGAATTACACCTAGTGAACTTAAAATTTTATTGGTGAAATTACTGCATCAAGCATGGGTCCCCTGAAAGGTGATTTCTCCTCCATCCCCACTTCCTTCTCTTCTCCCTTCTCCTCCACCACCACTTCTAATTCCCATCATCATCATCAACCAGGAACCTTCTACATACACACCTCAAAGTAAGTGTACTTTATTGCATTTTTTTTTTACTTTGTATGTACTTTTCTGTGAGCTGGAACCAATTACCCAATATCCCATTGAAACAATGGATTCGGTTAACGAACAACTATGTGGAATGAATTGTGTTCGTTAACTGAGGGACCACTGTATATATATATATATATATATATGTATATATATATACATTCAAAATTGTGAGTTGAAAAATAACTATAACACAGCTTGCCTGGTAGAAGGAGAGGTAAGGCGATGTAGCTACGGTGACATCTAACTTGACCACCTGCCAAGTCCACACACACACACACACACACACGTTCATGTAAGGTAAATTAAATTAGTTTGTAAAAATTTCTTGTTTTTATGTCTATTTATAAATTATTTGAGTTATTTAAACATTATTAAATCATTATAGCAGCAGAATATAAAATTTGTATAGGGGTCTTCAGGGTCTCAGGAATGGAACCTATTTTTCCCTGTCAGTTATGAATATCGATATGCAGGTACAATCCATCACTTTACGATGGCTGTTTGAGGTCCCTAACCCCCATTGTATAACGGTCATTGTCTGTACGAGAAGCTAAATACAGCACGAGAAACTTTCTCTAAAACCTACATTACTGATTTTTTAAGAATACAGTAGAATCCCAGTTTAATGACACCTTCGGGGATTGACAGGTGCCGGATAAACAGTTTTTCTGGTTAGTTGAAAATGCACAAAATGCAGTGCTACAGGTTGACCTTGCAAATTCGTCACAGAAAATCGGACTTCTTTAACGTTGATTGTTGCATGTAATAAAACTATAAAAGTTGTGGAATAATCATTGTGGTACTTTAATGTGGCTTAGAAATGAAGAAAATATAATATAAAATGACAAAAGAAGGAAAATGAAGAGCATGGTTGTGTATTTATAGGAACTGAACGAGTGTGTGCGTGTGTGTGGGCGGTGGGCTATAACTATGTTACCGCCTCTCCACTCTAGCCGCTGTGTATACTGTGATATCTCTGTTAGCTGTAACAATTGGTGCAGAGCACTTCTGGGAATGAGAGATTTCCAGGTAACAAGACGATTCTCTCAAACCTGGAAAAATATCCCTCATCCCCGGAATGTTCCGGGTAATGGAAAAATTTTCTCGGATTTTTCCGGGAAATTGTTCCCAAAGCTGGAAATGATTTACCGAGAAAATTTCAATTCCGGCTATCGGAGAGTTCCGGACTTGAGGGATTCCAGCTAACTGAGATATTACTTGTTACATGTAATGAAATTATAAAAGTTGTTGAAAAATCATTACAATACTGGACTCTAATATGGCTTAGAAATAAAGAAAATATAATGTGAAATAAGAAAAATGAAGACTTTGGGTGTGTATATGTGTGTGTGGAAGCTGTTATTAGCCAAGGCCTTGGCTAATAACTATGTGGCCAACTCGCCAGCCTCATATATTGTTACTACACTGTTCCCATGCTAACCTGGCCCGTAAGCCACGCCCCTCTTCTATAAAAATAGCCGATTGGTTCATAGAAAATGTTCGTGTAGCTGTCCATTTATTCAAACTAAATGTGTTCACATATTCAAGAGCACAACTTTCTTGATATTTACTCCACTGGAAACGAATGTAAACATAGAACCAATTACTGTATTGGCGGACTAGCCGATCAGCTGATGCGCACAGCAAAGCGTCTTTCTCGTAAGGCTTTTGTTAATCAAAGTTTTGTTCGTTAATGGAACTGAAAATCCTTATGGGAGCTAATTCGTTTACCGAAATTTCGTTAATTGAACCGTTCGTTAATCGCGGGACCACTATAGTTTTATCATTTATATAAATTATTTGGGATATATCCAGCTGTACAAACTATAGTTCATTACCTATTGTGCTATAGTTTGAATAAATGGACAGCTACACGAACATTTTCTATGAACCAATCGGCTAGTTTCTATAGAAGAGGGGCGTGGCTTACGGGCCAGTTTAGCATGAAAACAGTATTGTAATCAAACTTTGAAAGTTGTGGAAAAACCATGATAATACTTTAATGTGGCTAAGAAACAAAGAAAATATAACATAAAATGACAAAATAAGGAAAGTGTTGATGTGTGTGGAGGCAGTAGGCTATATAAGTGTGTAGCTGTGCTCCCTCCTGGTGTGACATCATGGCATACACCCAGCGCAGAGCAGCAGCCACATGTCTGTGAGTCAGCTGGTTGACTGCTTGGCTGAAATGGGTCACGTTGCACAGAGGATGGTGGAGTGTGGAAGGAGATATTATTTGTACATAAATTTTGTGCTATTGTATTTTATGTAATGCTATGTACCGATTTTATTGTTTCTCATCGCAATAAATATGGCAGCTCATCCCTGTTGTGCATGGTATTCAAACTTATGATGCTAGCTGATTTTGGAGGAATTTTCATTTTTATTATTAATGCTTCATTTTGGTGCCGGTTAGTTGAATCTGCCCGTTGCCTGGATACAGGATAACTGGGATTCTACTGTATCTTTAAGTCAGAGGCTTACCAGGAATGTTAGAAACACTTACCAAAGATTCCCACACAATGTTAGTTTAGTTTATACACAGTGAGGAAGGCACCTTTATTAAGCCCTTCAGAAAGGAAGTGAAGGAGTAAGGGTGAGAGGAATGTACCACTAGGGGACTGTGGAATTATAACGGCCTTACACCATGTGAGGAAACCTTTGTCTAACTTACTGTGTGAAGTTGTGGTACTGTACTATATTTTACTCTAAATAAATGCTAGTTTCTGATTTTTAAACAATGCTTCTATTATGTTACTGTCATGTATATAATTTTTGGAACCACTTTACTTTTTTTTTTGCTTAAACAAGACCTTTCATTTAAAACCAAGTTTTCTTTTTCACTTTATATCTTTACTATCTATCTTAAAACAATTGTTAATGTTCATGTTTAATTTGTACTCATATACTGTACTCTGTTTCTCCTTAGCAAAATTACTATGAGGAGGAAAATTAACCCAAGGAAGGTATACCTGGTTCATGTCAATGGTGACTTGTTCTCCCACAAAATACATGGCAGTTCGGCTGATGAGAATTTCCCCGCTCTGTTCCATACCGGGGGACACAACTGATGCCTTGGTCATGTGGACGATGCGTTCACTCACATTGAGTCTCTCTATCATCACAGCCATTGCAGACTCTGTCTCAGAACCTTTCAGTACGGACTCAAGGGGAGATGGCTGGTTCTCTATATCTGGATAAAGAAAAACAAAAAACCAAATAATTCAGTTGAACAGAAGGTTGATAATACCCATTTTACAAGATACTATATATTTCTATAATCTTTTTTCCTTCAGCTACATTCTTTGGCAAGGGCAAAAAACTATATTCAGACTAACAATATATATGCTCCTACAGTATATTGTATACACAATATGAGAGAGAGAGCGAAAGAGATTTTTACATCACCAGAGTAACAGCTTACCTATTTTCTGACTGTACTCAGGCATTAGGTACCGAGGTTTTATGTGAAGACGTCCCCGAGTGAGCCTCTTGCGTACTCTCATTGGTCCTTCCGTCTGGTCTAGCTGCCATGACCTTAACATACAACAAAAAAGAAATAGTATACATTTTTTTGCTAACATTGCACTGTTTACAATTGGTAGAGAAGTTTTACAAAAATACAAGATAAAAGCGTAATATGACTGCACTTCTTATATTGATGAACTGAAGCACACTGAGACATTAATCAACACCATAATTCTCATCACTTCCAACTACTAGTGTCATAATTTTACAACCAGTGTCAGGAGTGTGTGAGAGGCACATCATAATCAAATGCACACTAGTGACTAATGTTAGAACAAATTTCTTAGCAAAATAGAGTTGATATCCTGCATGCACAGTAATTAGTACACAAGGTCTCCAAATTTCCCTGAAGGTTATAGTAAAGCAGAAATGTACAACTTTATTGTTAATAGTTATTACTGAATATTTCCTACACTGTGGTAAAGAGACTGAATACTTAAATGATTAATTTAATACAGAGGTGACACGAAACCTCCTGTATAAGGTTAATGGAGATGTTCTCTTGTACAGTAGTCACTTATTTACGAATACTGTACACTGTATATCTAATCATATCTGTAGTATATTACTGCACTCACTTCCTGCTGTCATTCTGAACAGTTGTATAGTTAAATTGCCTTCAATCACCTTTAAGAAATAATTATTCATATACCTAACTATTGTCTCTAATTTACTTTTTGTATGGGATGGATCACAGGAAATTAATTCTGCAGCAAATGGGAAAAATGGAAGGGGAAGATGATAAAGGGAACATGTATATAAAAACAAACATTGAAAGTTATTTACCCACCTTGGATAAGCATGTGATAAGTGCCATGTAGCCCTCTCATGAGTCAGAATTTCAACAAGTCCTCTCCATCGGTGTGTAAGGTGAACGTGCCGACACTGTGAGTGTTTAATGCCTCCCAAGACAATCTTACGTTCAACATTCTGACGATCAACTACCGTTCGTGAAAGGCGGCTACATTCTCGTGCAACAGCCTCATAAATGTGGGTATTCTTGGTTAAAAGTCTGAAAAATAAAAGAGGACTATATGGGGTGTGTGTTCCCTAGCTCCCAGTTTGGGTTATAAATCTAATTCATCATTTAAAAAAAAATAAAAAACGATAAACTCCATAGCATTACTGAGTTTTCTTCACAGTATTATAAACTCTATAGAATAAAATGTATCCACTTGTTATCTTGGAAATTAACCTGCCAAATTGAGCCTCTCATCAATGTTGTTGAATATACAATCGAGGTAGGATGTGCTCATGTGAATCATCCCAGTATTAACAGACTTTATGGACAATTTCTGGTCATAGTTGTTAGTCTGTCATCTTTATCACTGATATATCACAGTGAGAGAGGATGATGCGTCAAAGATGAAATGTGACTTTTATTGTTGACAAGAATGTGTGTGTGAGGGGGAGGGGTAAAAGCTAGACAGTTACAAACCTTTTATCCTGCTTATTGCATCGATCTACAACAAGAATTGCTATCTTTGAGGACTCTTCTTGCCACTGCCTCTTTTCCTCACTGACAACACTCCACTCCCTCATGGCTCCATGGGGCGGGTATAACTGGAAGTATCATAAATATTTGCTTCTTGAAAATTCCTTTGACTATCCTTATAACTCAATTTCCTACACAAATATTGAAAAAAAAAAAATTATGTAACATTATAGCAAACAGAAAAAACCGTGGGAACTATTTACCTCAGGAGGCGGTAATACCTGAACCGAACACTCTTCTAGTATCTGCAAGACACCCTCACAACTCTTGATGGCCGATTCATCAAGCTTGTTCTCATTTTGGTAGCGGAGTTCATGCATGAAGATCCCTACTTTGTATAACAACTGTAAAGAAAAAGTGTCTCCCAGTTTAGATGGCAGTTGCTGACATAATGGATACTGTAAACATGTTAAAATATTTTCTACTATAAAAGGTTAATTGATTAAAATGTTTGTTTATGGATATTTCTCTCCCATAAATGAGCAATACATGCTAAATATAAACTTACTTTCACTTTCCAAAAGGTACAAAATATTTCTCTACTAATTTATTCACCTGAGGGTTTGCTTTTGAAGTATAAGATATGATAGCATGAACTTTGGGGTGAGACGCTAAGGCTTGGGCAGCACGTATACGTGTGTGAATGTGAGTTCTTGGAGATGTGACCAACGCCAACAGATGGTTGAGATGCATTCGGAGGATGTCTTGACAACCCCATACCATACGCTCCCAGCCACATCGTTCACTGTTACCTAAGGGATAGTGCAAGTCAATGAAGTTTGCATATTTGAAATAACATACAAGTATAATCACATGACAATGAGAAGATGACCCTAACACAAAACAGGAGATACCAAATTTAACTTATTAAGGTAATGAGGTACAGGGGGTCCTTGTTATCCACGGTTAATTGGGACGGAAAAACGCCTCTGAAAATGAATTCACTTAAAGCGGGAAATTAATCCCATAAGAAATAATGGTAAAATTGGGACCATGACATTGTACATGACACTCCAAAAAATGACATATCTTTTAACAATTATTTACCTGAGAAACATTTGTTAAACATTTGATAACACATTATTTTAAGAAATTATTTAACTTTACAAATTATCCTTAAAGCTCATTGGGGTCGGTGTGTTGAAGCAATGTAAGTTGTGTTAGTGACCTGGTGGTCCGCAGCGACCGTTGCTGGTGTACACTCACTCCAGTGGTTCATTGAGACAAAAAACTTACTATAATGTTTGAAAAATAAATAAAATATTTTTATTAACTTAGCTTCAAAGGTAGAGATGTTTGGCTTGATTGGATTGATGGAGGTGGTTGTTGGGGGATGGAGGATTAATTGGAGGATGAAAAAGAAACAGGACTTGGTGGATTGTCCACTCTCACTCTTCTTTTGCCTAATTACTTCTAATTTTACATCTATACTACAGCTAGTGTGCTTCCTTTTGAGTGCTGCACCACCCTGTTTGGGTTGGGATCTCATGGCTACAAAAATTATAAAATAATTCACCACAACATGGATGAAAAGACACAGGAAAGGCAGGAGTAAACACAACACAGCACTGGTCTGGACGAAACAAAGCTGGAGACTGGTGCGGGGACACGTGTGTGCATGCATGACACCAGGAAGAGGATAAAATTTCAAACGCTTCAGCTAAAATTCTGTAGCGGTTTTGGGGAGTTTTAAATCCGTAGGTTTTATCCAGAGTTTCACAGACTTTGAGAGATTTTTTAATGGAATCCACTTAAATGGGAGAGCTTTTTATGTGGATGGTCACAAAAAGTTGACCACTTAACTACAAAACTGTGGATAGTGAATACTCTTATAACGAGAACCTCCTGTATTAGAAAATTACTCACCTTATGTGTAGATTTATTGGGTGTTCTATGACTGGAATATGTAAGATTATAATATAAAAGTACTGTAACTTTATTTAAAATACAAATACTTTATTAGATCAAGACTGATCCATACTTAAGGTGTGCCAATTGAGCCTCCCTATAGGGTGGCTACACTGAACAAACTCATACTGAACAGAAATATTATGAATGCTTTAAAATAAGAACATTAAGAGTATTCCAAGACTGTAAACTTGATGAAGAATAACCACATTTAGCACTTTAAGAGATCTGTCCATTTATCTACCAACAACAAGTATGATTTAAAATAATAATCAGAAATATTTCCCTTTTTGTCAATTTGTGCTAAACAAGAACAATTTGGGGCACATAATGTGAAGCACCACCAACCTTTACGTTGTATGATGGTGGCAGCTGCACACAAGAGAAGCTCTAACAGAAATAAGCTAAAAGTCTCAGGAGCGCTGGCAGAGGGCAAGGCACTCGCCACTGCCTCAACAGATGACCACGCTGGAAGGGAAACATAATGCTAATTCACTCAACTGTTTTATTATATCACTAATTACATTAATTAATCAATACAGAGGGTAAAACAAGACAGTTATTGTGAGATAAATCATTCTCTCTAAATATGCTTTTAAAACCACCAGTTACTTAATATACCATAACTACCCTCTTGTTTAAGTCTTCCTCTGTACATTATCTCGACTTTCTTTCACTCTTTTAGATTGCTCTTTCCTGCTTCTGTAAAGGATGACTATAATCAACAACAACACAGCCTCTCCCTCTCTTACTATCTTTCATTCAGAGAAGTTACCTTAACATATTTGTTGAGCTAAGGTGTTCCTCTTCCAAAACTTGGCCCTAACACTTTCAACCGATCACCCCAATACATTACATAACTTAAGTTGAACAAAAAGTACTATGACTGCTTTGTGACATTGTTTGTAACATTAAATTGGCATACATCGAATAAAAGTTACAACCTGATATATACGAGTACAGGAATACCCAGGTTATTGCAAGGGATGCGTTCCTAAAAGTAATTGCGTATATTGGGGCAATTTTCCCCCATTAGATTTAATGTAAATAGGGGAATATGCATTCCCAGCCAGTAACTTTGGTCACATATTTTTTTTTCTCAATGTATACGACTCATACTCCAAGGCTATTAGGGACAAGGTCGCATATATACTCTAGTACCAAAAAAATGACTTGAAAGCAGAGGATATTAGTCACTAACGATCCATTGTCTTCCTAATAGAAGACGAGCTGTGGTCGCCATGCTGACCAGACCGTATAAAAAATTGTTCCAAACATAATATCTGAGAGACATAAACAAAATAAAAGTCACTCGATTTCCTCACAGTGCTAAGATGTATAAATACCCTACATAAAATCCTCGTGGCACTTAGTATTTCAGCTATTACAATACATATTAGTGGAGCCTTCATTGTGAGTATTTACAGCTGATCCGCCAGGCAAGAAGATGAGGGTAACAATGCGTGTGACAGAGGGTGCGGGAAGGGGTTTTGAGAATTGCAATTAAATACCAGGTAGCGACGTGTCCTCCTAATATTATGTATTAAGTAATTATTAGATGTTTTAATTGCCTGTATGTTGGCCTGGCGAGTTATTGCTAGGCATTAACATACCTAGGTATAAGCTAGACGTCACATTCTGGATTGAACAAAAATAATAATAACCAGGGACAAATCCAGGAACAGCAAAGGGGGGGGGTATTGCTCACCGAAGTTATGGGTGGTGGACCATGGCAAGCACAGCCAGCCAACCCAGCTGGGGGTGTGAAACTTGGCCAATATCATGGGCATTTTGAGGCCATTTTGAAGCCATGTGTACTTGTTATTAGGAGATATTCTGAGGTCAATAATAATTACTTTTTACTTTAAAAAAATGCTTGAGTACAATACTTCATTAAAAGAAATAGTATTGAAATTTTCTGATAAAAAGGTGGATCCGTACCCCCCATAACACAGCTATGCCTGGTAGGAAGAAAGGTAAGGCAATATAGCTAAGGTGACATCTAACTTGGCATCCTGTCAAGTCAACACACACACACACACCCCCATGCTCTTCATATTTCTTATTTTATAGCAACATATTTTTTTATTTCACTACAGATATACTACATATAATGCAATAAAATAACTACAATAGCATAAAACAAAACAAAAGAACACTATATATGAGTGTGTGTGTGTGTGTATTTGTGTGTGCACGTGTCTGTGTATGACATTTAAACTAACATTTACCATTGCCATATAAAGAATTCTAGAACACTTGGTGTATTTTTTCACATCGTGGTTTGGAAGTACAGGTACAGGCATGGGGCGAGTGTCTCCTGCGCGCATTCTCCGTCCCACTGAACTTCATTAATTTCTAAAATGCGTAGGTCTGTGTGTCTGTGTGGAAAAAATGCTCGCGTGTGAAGTGGGCCTTTTGTTGGAATATGAAAGCTGCAGCTAGCCGCCTGATTTGAAATATTACTGTAGCAGTGTAGGGTATCGTAATTTTTCATTTGCAAATATCGAATACGGGTGTTAAACTACACAATTGCATATAAGAGGGGTTGCGAACATCAAGGTATCCCTGTATGTCCCATCTAAATATTCACCAGCGTACAGGTTGGGATTTCTGTCTCGTTAATTAAGAATATTTAGATTAGAAAATATAAAGATTGGAAAAGGATTGTGTGTTGATATGTAAAATTCAGTAGTTAATTTAGAAGCAAATATACCTGTATATGTATAGAAGTACTCAATAAAACACTACCTTCAATAAATTTAATTTAATGAGAATACAAAAGCGATTCAGAACTAAATATATTTCTATTAGATATGAATAAATATATCTGTTGGCCTGCTGATAAGCTTCACCAAAATTTATACAAAAAATATAATCAACCCATAACCATATATGACTATACTGTACAGCAAAACAAATCTTAACCAGGGGACAAACACAAACACTGATCCAGGCAAGTAAGCACACCCACATATACTGTACACACACAACCAAAAGGTCATATCACAACAACACCTGTAATATATAGCTCACCTGACATAAATAAAAAATCTGTTGCCTTTTGTATGAGAACTTTGAATCTGTCCACTAACTCAGAGTGAGACAACACCTTTTCTTCCTTTTTGGAGTTTTCAGCAGCCAAAGCAGGGGAGCTCTGACTCTGGCTGACAAACAGCTGCTCCGATATGTTGTGAAGGCTGAAATGACAATTAAGACGTGATATGATGAACAGAATTCAATCCTCTCAAGCTCAAGATCTGGGATTTTAAAAGAAATCAGTACCCAGTGTTATTAATTTTTTTTTGTCAATGAAATGCTGAAATGGGTCAACCTTTAATAATGCTTGAGAAATATCTCCTCACTTAAAAACCCTGAATATGCATCAAATGTATAAATAATAACTAATATGCATCAAATGTATAAATAATAACTAACAAGAACAATATGATTTTACTGTCTCATTATAAATTATACTTCTCATAATCTTTATCTATTCTATTATAATTTTCTTTTGGAATTAAACCAGCAGTTCTCACATTCTTAATAAAGAGATGTAATTAACTATTTTGTTGTGCCATTGCAAATACTTCTGAGTACTCTATAAGATTAGCCTGCTGGTGACATAAGAAGTAAATTCTTTTGTAAACATTTGCCCTACCTACTGGTAAGTGATGACCTCTGAGTGGAAGAACAGATGAACAGACACATGGATGGATGGGCAAAAGAACAAACAAAGTCCCCAGCAGCTCTATTAAAGACTCTTACCTTTTTGTGAATGGAATGGTTGTGTAATTGGCTAAAACAGAGCCCACTCCCGAATCACTGTCCTCACGCGGCGCACCTGACGAGAACAGCTTCAAGTTGTGTAGGCTGGTGGATCCTGATACACTTGTTTTTTCCACTGTCAGATTAAATTAACGATTAATTAATACCAGTCAAACACTTGAAATAAATCATAATTATCAATTTTTCTCAAGTTTTCCCATAACTAATTAGTACACTAAATTACCTTCAAAAACTTTACAATTTTGTTATGTATATAATTAATTTTTGCGATAATGCAGGGAGGCCAGACAGGTGCTAATAACCTGAGTATTCAGCAGCTACTGAGTTAATCAACCATCTTGGAAGGATGTTAGTCCACAGATGGAGTGTTCCAACATTGACATGCATATTGAATGCACATGAAATAATGTAAAAGACCGAATCCTTCACTAAATTTAATGAGGAATCAATCCTGTGACCAATTACCAGAGGGTGAATTTTAATATAAACTAGTTTTTCACTGTAAAACTGGAATGACACAAGAACATGAACAAAACAAAATGAAGCTTATGAAAGCCATTTACCAGTACAGTACATCATTTCTTTAATTTTCTTTTGCATCATATATTGTACTGTAATGCAAAATAAATTTCACTTGTGCTAATAATACGAACTAAAAAGAAAAAAATATTACAAGTACAGTACAGGTAGTTACAGAAACTTACTTTTAAGGCTATCATTAATATCTCGAGGTAGTGTGTGCTGGTGTGTGGAAGCTGTGGCCTGAATGCGTGAGAGAGCCACCTGTAGAAGAGCTGCCTCAGTGCCCTGCAGGTGACCCACACAGCTTGCCTGACCTCCACATACAGCAGACTCCCCACGACACAACAAGTTCAAGTGATGCAGGACCTCTAAGCTCAACTGTAAATATAAGTGACAAAATGTGAAAGTGGTTTCCACAGCAAATGGCCTGTTAGATGCAGTATAAATACTAGATATAACACACTGTATACTAAGTCTGCTTTTGGTAGTCAAGGATGCAGTGTTGCTGGCACTGTACATAACCACCTTCCCTTTCCACAGCTATAAAGTTAGGTACTAAGCTGAGTGAAGTGACCCTAAGGCCAGGGTTCAAACACTGTATCCACTTGTGTAATAAAAGCCATTCCTTTTCTGTCTGTACTAATTCATACTTCATTTATCATCGATCAATTCTACAATACATAAACTTCTTTAATACTTGTCAATTATTGTACTTGCCACATGACAGCCAGCACTTCATACTCTACATATTCATGTTTCATTATCATTATATGATATGGATGTTTCATATTACAGTATATGTATCCTCAATAATAACGGGACCCGATAATCGCTGATCTGGCTTACCACTAGAGCCCAGATGTTCAGGGAAAATGCCATATATGCCTATATTGGTCTTTTTTTGTCATGTGAATGAAATACAGTATTGCCTATTTCGTTGAATTATGCCTATACTGTAATGCCTTATATTAGTGTTTTCTCTGTTATTTGTAAAAAAAAGGTGAAGAAATTATTTCCCTGCGATTAGTACGATTGTATGGGAGAAAGACTTTTTTTTACACTATATGTCCATTCCTGGCTCACTACGCCTGTTGTGTTAGTGGGAAATACCTCTTGTCATGCTCAGTGAAGCGTCACTAATCCAAGGGTTGTCAGATGTCATAATCGCAGGGTGCCGCTGACACGAGTGAAGTGATCAGTTCTCTTTCAAAGACAGAAGTTGATACACCCGCATAAACAAAGGATTCCCTAAAACAAAAACTTTGCAGTTTAGTTAAAGAATTTGGTGACATTTTGTCAACGGATGGGGAAGTGCTCTTTTGCAAAGTCTATCAAAAGTCGATAAACTATGAGAAGAAATACTTTGTTTCTCAGCATTTAGAGACATCTAAGCATAAAACAAATGCTTCTCTAAAAGACGGTGAAAAGAAGACATGCCTTCTCTCAACATACACAGCAGCTACCAATTGACAATCTTAGTTTTCAATGGACTTGTGCAAGGCGTTCATGGATGCTGGTATTCCTTTGTGGAAGGTGGAAAATAAATCTCTGAAGGGATTTCTAGAGAAATACACCAAGGGAAGTGTACCAAGTAAGGCTACATTAAGAATGAATTATGTAAACCCTACCTTTGATAGTATCATGCAGAAAATACATGATGAAGTGAGTGACAAAAGAATTTGGATCTCCATTGATGAGATGAATGATGCTGTTGGAAGGTATGTTGCCAATGTGATTATTGGAACCATGGAGCCTGGTTGGCGCCTTTTTTTTATTTTATGCTGCCTATATTTGAATAGTTTAGTGCCTATTTGCCTGCATTTTTTCAAGGATTTTAATTGCCATAACATATGGGCTCTACTTATCACGTTATCTGGGTTATTGCAAAATTATCGTGGGATAGCTGTGGGTCTGCGAGAGCCAGCGGTAGCAGCGACTGCCAAGAGATGGCAGCACGGCTCGTGGCACCAGAATCCAGTGATAGCATTTGTTTTCCTGCGCTATTTTGATTGGTATTTGAAGAGTTTTCTAGTCTGTGCTTGTCTTGGGTGCAATTTTTTACTTACCCTCCACCATGGCACCTGTGAACAATAAGAGTATTAAGGTTCCTGATCTAGCCAAGCGATGAAGACGTGTGTATTCTCTGGTTGACTGTTCCGATGTTCCCGACAAGGATAAGTATACGCATCGTTATACACCCATTGTGTGTTACCACTTCCTTCCACTCCACTCTCTAATCATCCCCACCTTTCTGCTTTCTCACTCCACAATTTAAAATTTATGTATCGCAATGTAGAAGGAATATGACGTTGTTCATTTATACTTACAGTGCACTCAATTTTGTGGGTAGACATCAGCTGCTCAGTTGTGGCTGCAGCCAGTGTCACCAACAAACTGATTGATGCATCATCTTGTCACCACTTACCACATTCTCCCCCTCCATCACCAGCTCCATGATCACCACCACTACCTCTATTATCACCACCTAAATCATAATTTCAGTGATGGCTTTGCCTTAGCCAGACCAGATTAGAACAATATCCACTGCCTCCCACCCACTTCCCATCTCCCTCCCACCCACTGCATCTCACCGACACTGCCTCTCACTCATTCTTCTATGACTGTCATTCATGATAAAATTTTGTACAGTACTCTACATTGTTTACTTGTTATTCATTAATTAATAAAGATATGTTACTAGTATTATATCTTTTAGTGTGCCTACACATATTTGTGGTATATATGGGTCAGTTCAGGGATGCATCTATGGGGTCGTGGGAAGAAACTAAATTTTCCCATATGTTTTGTGTTTCAATATGTACGGTTTTGCTTATCACGGTAGTTTCTGGAACCTAAACCTTGCGATTACTAAGGCTACATGTATATATTATATGGAGTTTTAATATCTCCTCTAGCAGTGATGACCTATAGAGAATCTTCACACAACTTCATTTACTAGTGTCAATACCACAGTAAATTACTTCAAAATAAAACAACAATAATTCTGTTCAACATACATTTTTACATTTGTTTAATCTTGTTCATCCCTATTACAACAATAATACTAAATATCTGTTTTCATTGCTGATCTCCCCCTTCAGTGGTCATGAATCACACATAACAGCTGAAGGTAAGATGATCACAGTCCAATTATAAGTAATTTTGCATATTGGTTGAACTCCCACTATTATGAATCCCTATAGTACTATGATCAATTAGTCACAACTAGGAAATATGCTGCTTTATACACTTATCCAATTGGTACTTACCATAAAGTTTTTGTGTTGGGGAGACGCTACAAGGCAGTTGATTATCCAGGAGAGGATCTCGGTAATGTCCGACACAACCACCTCACACTCGCTCTCACCGGTCACGTCACTCACGCCTACACCTTCAGTGTGCAGAGATTTCTTGAGTGTGCACAAGAGGGAATCCACAAAATGTGCTTTGTGGATAAGTGGAATGATGAGTTCCATGTTCTAAAACAAGAAAAAGAAAAAAGTAAAATACCAAATACCAAGAGACAACCATGACACATATTTCTTTTGCCCTCCCTTGCTGTAATGCTTCACCTCCCTTCTGTGGTGTAGGCTGTGTCCCACTACCTACACATCTGCTATAGTTATCTCCATATGTCCTATTTGCTATCCTAATTCCTGGTACCTTTCTCACATGTTTATACCACCTCAGAGTACCTCACTTCACTTTCTAACCTGCAGCGCTGTTCACATTCTCAGCCTTCTTACTTACCTCACTACTAACTTATATACACTTAAAAGAATAATTTCCTGAGATGTAAAAGTATACCCAAAAAATATGCCGACTTTTTTTTCACCCCCACAAATTTTTTGTTATGCAGAGTGACGAGAACTAAGCATAATATATTTTCTCCTGATAGATAATAGAATAAATGCAAAAAAATAATTTAATCAAAACAGTCACCCCATGGTTATAGCGCACTTGGTTATCACGATTTTCGTTATCTGCACACCTGCTGTTATAGCGCATTTTTCAAGCTGAGAATTTCGTTATCACGCAGTTGCCTCCAGGTGTTTTTACCCATTTGCTTCACCTCCATCTGTTGAGGATAAAATCTTTCACCTACAAACTGACAATAACACATTTGCTGTAATCAGATATATCTAAGTTGCCTCAACAACTGCAACCCCAGTTACAATTTAAAATTCTGTGTCATTACTAAGGAATAACGAAGCCTCAGGTGCACTCTAAGATTGCGAGAAAACGGATGACTCAGGCGTCCTGAAGCGATGAGAAAACGGACTCCTCAGACGGGGGACTCAAATAAAGAATGCATAGCTACATGTTTTGTGGACTACAGTATTGAGCGTACCCTTTTCATCACTTTGTAATAAACCTAGCCATGCCTATGTGTGTTTTTGATACTTACCATAACATTATCTATATCTTTAGTGGGTCTAAATGGTTATAAAATGGGAATATTAGGGTTGGGTCTTGGGTGCCTGGAACCAATTAGAATAAATCCCATAGGTTCTGCACTTTCGTTATCGCGTTTTTCGTTATCACGCACTCGGCGCGGTCCCAATTAGAAGTGATAACCAAGGGATAACTGTATACTTATACAGTATTTTCTTGATTTAACGAACTAATTCGAGCCGCCCCTTTCCGCTAAATCAAAACTTCCGCTAAATCGAATTTCCGATATTTTTGCTCGATTTAGTGAAAAAGTTTAACTAAATTGAGCACGATTCCATTAAATTCCACACCAAATGCACCGCTTGGCACGTGAGGTTTTCGTTTAGTCTGTGTCCTTTCGCCACTGCGTGTGTTGTTCACTGCTACCTCTTGGTCAAGTAACTACTGTGCCTAGACATCATGCCAAAAATTTCTCAGAAGTCTCAGAAAGGAAGTGGTGTGGGGGAGAAAGTCAAAAGAGTGCAGCTATCAATTTGAAAAAAGTTTGAAAATAATAGAAAAAATTTAAGACAAATACTGAACCTGCTAGTTTAAGGTAAACCATGAATAATGGATCTAATGGTTCTATGTACATATCATGTGTCTGAGGCGTGAGCATATTAACGGAATTATTCTCGATAGTTCACTAAATCAAGCAAAAAATAAAGGAAAAAATTCCTTCTGCTAAATTGAGTTCGTTATATCAGATTCCGTTAAATCAAGAGTACTGTAACCTGCATACTGTAGTAATCTCAAGATGAGCCGGAATCCAATAGACGGAATGGAAATTGGGCTAGAAAAATTCCGGGAAAACTTTCTCCATTCCGGGTCTATGAATGCATTTACGAGGATGAAAATCAGGCACATTTTCTGAAAAAAATTCTGAGGAAATTTTTCCAAGCCTCTCCGTTCTGGGTCTGGGAAAAATTTTTCCGGGAGTTCCAAAAGATTAATTAAGGCCCTGATTAACATATCTGGCTAAGCGCCACAACAAGAAAAACAAGAAAAACGCAGTCAAAGTTATGCAACTTTCAAAACGCCATATCTCGATAAACCAAAAATGCTTTAAATTTTTTTTAATAGCTTAAATTAAGTACTTTCATGTTAGCATAGTTAAATAATGAAAGAGAAAACGATGACTGCATTTTTCCCCGATTGCAATTGCACATTCAATGACATCACACCCAACTCAATGATTAATAACTCCAAAACTATTAAAGGCATCGCTATCACTTTCATGTATGTTTAAGTTAAAGACAGTAAGATGGTAAGAAAAGGAAAAGATTAATGCTTACATATAGGAGATAGTCATTTGTCGTGTTTCTGAATAAAGGTATTCTGTAACACCAAGTCACCAAGCTCCCAAAAGTCCTTGTGGATGGCTTCTCGAATTGGAGCACTAATTTTATCATAACAGCCATCAGAACAAGGAGGCCCCATAACTCTTGCAGGAACACGTTTACCTGTAGCCCTACTAGTGTAGGCCTGCCCTTGGTTCCGCTGTTTTTTTTTGCTACGTTCTGTGCCTGTGTCTCGAGATGGCATCCCTTCTTTCTGCCTGTGGAGGTGCAAGGAACATCACTCTCACTGCCCGTGTCAGACATGTTCACCAAAGTTACGCAAACACAGAAAAAAAGGCACAGCGGGATAGCTGAGTAATCCAAGCAACACAGTATAAACAGAGCGACTGACCATGTGCTCAAGGGGGAATTGTACACGCGCTGTAATTGGCTGTAAGCAGCCTTCGCGGTATGTGACACGACACGTCATTGGCTCCCACCAATCACGCAGCATGCGGCTCAGCTGAGTAGCGCGTAGCCAGGTTTGTTACCAAGCTTAAAACTCCTGGCTGTGGCTGGGCGATGCGGCTCGGTATACATGTTAGGACAATGGGGAATTTTCAACCCTAAGAATGTTTGCATACTCAGTCAGGTATTATTCCCCAAGAAAATAGAGGGTTGGAGGGATACAGTGGTATACAGTCTCTCCTCGACTTACGACAACCCGGACATTCGACGGCCATGGCCGTATAAAATACTTTTCAAATTAAATATTTTCGAGTCCTGACATTTGGTCTTAATGTGAAGCCGTATGATAGCTTGGGCAGGGCCGCCTCGTGGTGTACAGCATCCATGTCGTAGCCCGCACAGTTCAGTGATCGAGCTGTGTACTGACAAAATTTTTGTTTGTAATTCCCTTTAAAGTGGCTGGCAAGCGTAAAAGTGAGAGTTCTCATGGTGCTGAGAAGAAAAAGAGACAGTCAATTACTTTTGAGATGAAAATGAAAATAACAATGCAATATGAAAATGGAAAAACGGTATCAACCATTTCATGTGACCTTGGCTTCTCTCACTTGACGATATAAAAATTTTTGAAGGACAAGGAACGAATTCGTGAGGTAGTGAAAGGATCAGCACCTATAAAAGGAACAATAATAACAAATAAAAGGCAAGGTCCTATTCATGAGATGGAGAAATTACTTGTGACATGGATGGAAGATCAGCTGCAAAAGCATGTACCCTTAACCCTACTAACCATACAGGGTAAGGCAAAAAGCGTTTTTGAAAGCCTGAAAGAGCAGGCAGGAGATGAGTGCGACCAAAACTTCACAGCAAGTCATGGGTGGTTCTAAAGGTTTAAGAAACGTTACAATTTGCACAGTGTAAAGGTGGGTGGAGAGGCAGCATGTGCCGATGTGGGTGCTGCTGAAGCTTTTAAGGAGGAGCTAGATTGTGTCATCGTGGAGGGAAATTATTTGCCTGAGCAAATATTTAATGTGGATGAAACTGCCTTAATCTGGAAGCGCATGTCAGAATGGATATACATCCACAAAGAGGCGAAAACCATGCCGGGATTCAAGGCATTCAAGGAACGAATCACACTTCTGTTGGGGGGGAATGTAGCTGGTTTCAAGGTAAAACCCTTCATGATATACCATTCAGAGAACCCAAGGGCTTTTAAAAATGTCAGCAAGCACACACTGTCAGTGTTTTATCGCAGTAATAAGAAAGCATGGATGACCCTAGCACTGTTTGAGGATTGGTTCCCGAGTTGTTTCATTCCACGAGCCAAGGAGTATTGTCTGCAACAAGGGGTTGCCTTCAAGATTTTATTAATTTTAGATAATGCTCCGGGACACCTACCACACCTGGACGACCTGCACCCTGATGTTAAGGTAGTCTACCTTCCACCTAATACTACCTCTATCATCCAACCCATGGATCAAGGTGCTATTGCTACTTTTAAAGCGTATTATTTATGTACGACCTTTGCTCAGGCAATTGCTGCTACTGAGGGTGAGAAAATGCTCAGAGAGTTTTGGAAGGACTACAACATTTTGCAATGTACAAAGAACATAGCTGCAGCATGGGATGAGGTTACAGGTCAGTGCATGAATGGAATATGGAAGAAGGTCCTGAAAAGATATGTGAACAGTTTCAAAGGATTTAATGAAGATGAAGCAATTTCTGAGATTAGTAACAAGATAATGCAGATGGGTAAACATCTGGAGTTAGAAATTGATAATGAAGATGTTGAGCAGTTGGTGGAAGGTGTAACAGAAGAGCTAAGTAACGAGGATCTTATTGAGCTGGAGGCACAGAAATTTGCAGAGGAAGAAGAGAGACAAAATGTAAAAGAAGAACCTGCACCTCCCAAAAAGTTTTCAGTGAAACAAATGACAGAGGCATTTGCTTCTATTAATAAGGGGATGCAAATGTTTGAAGAAATGGATCAAAATGTTGAGCATTTTGCAAAAGTTGACAGACTGATCCAAGATGCACTTGCTTGCTACAGGGAGATTTACAATGAAAAGAAAAGGCAAACTGTGCAGTCTAAATTGGACATATTTTTTAAGAAGTCCCCCACTGCTATCTCCTCACGCCCCACCAGTGCTGCCTCTTCACTCCCTCAAGATGATCCAATACCTTCAACCAGCAAGTTTCCACAGCACATAAATCTGTCTGAAGAAAGTGACATTGATGACCCACCCAGCCCTGTCTCCTCCTCTGCTTCATCCAATTAATATAGTCTCCATGTTTAATTATAAAATTATTGGGGCTCCTTGTGCATTCAGCTGACTACATTAAAGGTAAGTGCACAGTAACACTTTATTTATTTTTTCATTATTGATTACTTTTTCTGTACTGTATTTCATTTTAGAACTTCTATGTATTATTTTCGCCTTTTCGACTTACGACCTGGTCGTCGGGACGGAACCATGTCGTAAGTCGAGGAGAGACTGTACTTAACTCGATTTTGGCCGAGGTGGCACTTAGCCAGATATGTTAATAAGGGCCTCAATTCATGCTCCAACGCATCCTAACGAGCTAGACACTTGGGTGGCTCAGCTGCTTGGATCGCTTAGTTCATATTCTGGTGCCAATGTAGAAGGTTGTTCCCTCGCTAGCTGCTGTTATTGTGTACAATTTGTGTTGAGCAATATTTTACATGACTGTACCAAGACCAAATAAGCCAAGAATACAGTGTTAAGACGTAAAATGTTACTACAATTATTATACAGTACTGTACAATTAATAGGAGTGAAAGTACCATATGTACAGGAAAAGGCCATCACTGGAACACCTTAACTTTTGTCTTTATTCAAGACATCATTCTTCAGGTCATGAGATCCACTGATCCATCACCCCAACAATGTGTGGCCTGACATTGCATCAGAAGATCAGTAATATGAGACCACTAATCCCTCACCCCACCTCCACCGCAAGTGTTAAGACAAGACTTGATTACAGCTACATATACTGTACTGTACATTCAGCAGAGTGGACAGTGTATGCCTACTGTAAACTCAAGATGACAGCATCTGTTGGTAATAAAGTACATACAGTGCAGTAACAGTATACATTACAGTAAATTGTTTATTACAATACAGTATTACCCCGCTTAACGCGGTTTCGCTTAGCGCGTTTTACCGTATACGCGGTGCCTCGCCAGAGCCGAACTTTCACTTAACGCGGGTTTTTTCCACGTATACGCAATGAGTGTCCGGCTCGAGAGCTATTTTTAGATTCGCCCCACCCCCCACCCGCCACCCTGCCTGACTGCCTGTTTTAGCTCATAAAATTCATACAAATTACCCAGCCAGAATATAATTTACATTGCTGGAATTCTTACAATATGATGATCATTTTGAATATAAACATCATAAATTTTGCATTAGACATACAAATTTTATATATAATGTTTACTCTGAGTAAATATGTTATTTTTTGTGCAAAATATATGACATTTGTATTCAAAATATTCCTGGGCTTACAAGGAATCCAGCAATGTCAATTATATTATCCTAACTTTAGTTTGAGGTATTATTTATTACTAAAAAGGTAAATATTCTGGTTTTCCCACACATCTGGTGGGATTGGTGGGGGGTGGGGGGGGGAGGGAGGGACCGACCGACCATCTGTTACCGTGTGAAGAATATTTTTTTTTTTTATTAACTGAAGATATTTGTTTTAGCTCATAAAATTCATACAAATTACCCGGTCAGAATATAATTTACATTGCTGGAATTCTTATAATTTGATGATCATTTTGAATATAAACATCATAGATTTTGCATTAGACATACAAATTTTAGATGTAATGTTTACTCTGAGTAAATATGTTATCTTTTGTGCAAAATATATGACATTTATATTCAAAATATTCCTGGTCTTACAAGGAATCCAGCAATGTCAATTATATTATCCTAACTTTAATCTGAGGTATTATTTAATACTAAATGTTAAAATTTAGTTTTTTCACCCAACATCTCTTGAAGGGAGGATTGGTGGGGGGTGGGGGGGAGGGTTGGGACTGGACCATTGACAGGTGTCGTGAAGAATATATTTTTTTTTATTAACTGAAGATATTTGTTTTAGCTCATAAAATTCATACAAATTACCCGGCCAGAATATAATTTACATTGCTGGAATTCTTACAATTTGGTGATCATTTTGAATATAAACATCATAGATTTTGCATTAGACATACAAATTTTAGATATAATGTTTACTCTGAGTAAATATGTTATCTTTTGTGCAAAATATATGACATTTATATTCAAAATATTCCTGGTCTTACAAGGAATCCAGCAATGTCAATTGTATTATCCTAACTTTAGTTTGAGGTATTATTTATTAAAATTTAGTGGTTTTCCCCCAAAAATTTCTCAGAGAGGGAAGAGCCAGCAGTGTAGTGTGAGAAGAGGGGGAGGGAGTTGAGTCCATTATTTGAATGGACATTAACTTGGCGACTGTATTTCTCTATTTCTCTTAAGTATTAATTGTGTGCATGTACCATCATAAAATTAAGATGTTATTTTTACTAGAACATAGGTATTGTGTCGGAAAAAGTGGAGTTTGGGGATGGGCCAGTTTCTATTGGAATTAATCCCATATGTTCTGTTGTTCACTTAGCGCGGTTTTCACTTAACACGGTACCCTGTGGGTTTTATTGACCGCGTTAAGCGGGGTACTACTGTACACTATATCAAACATGTACAGTGGTATTTGCATAAATAAATACACCTCTATTTCTGTCCATGCGAGATGAGTAATTTAAACTCGGGGAAAACTTTCCCAGTAGAATGGAAAATTCCAGTGTTGGCCGTGACACACAGGTTCAGTCATGCTTCACACACCCTTATCATATAGATTTTTTTTTGTTTTTGAAGAATATTTAATGAAACAAACTTTTAGACAAGCTATTTAGATTTCTTTTAGAAAAATGGTGGTTTTAAATTATTTACAACTGATTTTATAGACTTCAGTATAAATATTTCTTAAAGTTTCCATAAAATAATTGAGTCCCCATTATTATAGTGACAAAATATTTTGTTTAAAGATCTTTTATTGAAAGAGTCTTATAGAGAATTAATTTGGGATCATTATGGTACCAAATTCATCTCTCTAATACAATTAGAACAGAAGCTGTGAATAAAAGTTTATGCACTTTTTCACTAGCCATAAATATTATCTCTTGTGCCTACAGTTTAAATGTAATGGGAGAATGTTTGTCTGTGCGTGATGACATGTATAGTTCAGACTCTCTTAGATCCTGGAAAACTTTCCCCAACACCCATTAACACTCCAGGGATGTGTGATAGTGCCTGTCCGTGTGAAATGCGTACACGTACTTGGAAAATTCCACGGATGTGGGAGATTTCCAGATTTTAGAGTCATCTCATTATCCAGAAAAGTGCTGAACCAATTATTCCTCTTGAATTTGGCATCTAATAATAATAATAATAATAATAATAATAATAATAATAATAATAATAATAATAATAATAATAATAATAATAATAACAACAAAAATATCTGTAATAGTAGTAGTAGTAATAATAATAATAATAATAAAGGTCAATTATGTCTTCAATAAAAGCAAACAGGTTTGGTAACCACCTTGTGCAATAAGTCGAGCATCACCATCAAAGAATTGTGGCAGAGTGCAATGTCTTGTGCTGAATGGGGAAGCAATGCCATCAATGGGATGAACAACACAACCTGAAATTAATAAAATTGTCCCATCAAAAAACTGTGAAATTTTAGTACCATAATTGTTCATGTAGACACAACAAATGCCATATACTGGTTTAAAAGATAAAAAATTATTTATCTCAAGGTTAAAAACAGATATAGTTTGGTGGTAACATTCACCTGTTGTGGGAGAGCAAGGCTGGGATCACAGTCAACGGCATAATCTTCAAATGTGAATGAACGTCCCAGGGCGAGGGAAAATGCTGCCAACACTAAATGGGTGGAAATTGTTGCATGTTTATGGAGCTGCTGAGCCATTATTAGGGGAATGTTCTGGCGGAGATGCAGAAGACTGTCCTCAGGTGAACATCTATCCAGCATTGTTGTGAACAGCTGATAAGGGACAAGAGAACATATGTCATTATTGAAAGTCATCAAACAACTACAATGACAAGTATGTAAGTATGATGTACAGTTGGCCCCAGAAATAAGTACAGGTACACCACAGATTTTCCGGGAACTGATGGTCCGGCACCTCCTTTAGTCCGGACAAAATTATGAGAGGGCGCTTAACTTCCCTCCCTCCCAGCCAGGGTGAAGGTAGTTTTAGGCTTAAAATTTTTATCTTATAAAATGTAGCTGACTAGACTTAGCAGAATATAACTTACATTGCTGGAATCCTTGTAAGATAGTGATTACTTTGAGTATTTTGTTTTTTTTTACGGGAATTAGCCCACCCGGGCACAGGTCAAACGACCCACAACGGAGCCTGGGGGGCGAAAAAAAAAAAGAACGGAAAGAAATTGTAAATATAGAAAAAAAAGGTTATACTGTATTAATCTACACCACGAAGATGCCGGAAAACCAGCTTTTTAAAGTGAGACAGATTGTAAGAGCATGGAAACACAGAAGAAGGCAGAGCATTCCACAGATTGGCTGTGTGAGGAAAGAAGGATGTACTGTACTATAACGGGTTATTCTCGTGTGACCGACATCCACAGAGAAACGGTGGGCACCGCGGGCAAGACGTGTGTTACGAACCCACGGCCTTGCTGGCGGTACACAGGATGCTAAATCCACAGAACATTGCCCGTTAAAGTACCTGTAAGAGAGAGAGAGTGAAGCAACATTGTGGCGAAGAGAAAGGGGAGAGAAATTGTCGACTAAAGGAGGAGAGTTAATAAGACAAAATGCCTTTGATTCCACCCTATCTAATAGTTGGACAGAAGAAGAGCCACCCCAGCTATGAGAGCAGTACTCCAAGTTAGGACGAATGATTTCCTTATATACTTGGAGCAACTGCTCAGGAGTGAAGTAGCTGCGGCATCTGTACAGCATTCCCAACTTTCGGGAGGCAGCTTTAGTTATACTAAGGATGTATGATGTCATGTCGCTGTTGTAGTAATTCTATTATTTTAGTATTTTAGGCCATTTCAGTTCATTTCTTTAACAGAGTTGTATTTTAAAGTTGTTTTATATATGGGTTCTCAGGAATAACAACTAATTGAGCAGTCACATTGAAGTTTTTGAGTACATAGAAAATAATGTCTCGCTGCTATGCACCAGAAATTTTTAAGGTTCATGATCTAGATCTGCTGTATAAGGTGACCCCATGATTTGGGGGAATTTGGGGGAATTTGGGGGAATTTGGGGGGGGCTTACAACCTCGGCTTATACGCCGAGAAATACGGTATGTAAACCCTACCTTTAATAGTATCATGCAGAAAATATGTGATGAAGTGAGTGACAAAAGAATTTGGATCTCCATTGATGAGATGAATGATGCTGTTGGAAGGTATGTTGCCAATGTGACTATTGGAACCATGGAGCCTGGACAGCCTTCAAAAAGCTACCTATGTACTGACATCTGAGGCACTTGCTAAAACCAACCATCGTCCAACTGTTATACGAATGCCCTGTCCCTACTGTGGCCAGATGAATTCAAGCACGGAAGAGTGCTCCTGTTCCTCACAGATGCTGTTCCTTATAGGAAAAAAGCAGCAAAAGCTCTGAAAGTTCTTTTCCCTGAAATGCTTCATGTGACATGCTTAGCACATGCACTCCACAGAATTGCAGATGAAGAATGCATTTTGTGCCATGATGTTGAACTGTTGGTGTCAAATGGAAAGAAGGTACAGTCGGCCCTTAACATACGCGGGTTTAGCATACACGGATTTGCAAATACGAGGATTGCCCCGCCGGAGGAATATTCTGTACATTCAAATCGCGCGCCATTCAACTCGCGCGCGGCACCGAACACGGGACACCGCCCGCTCCCGCAACCTCACACACACACACACACACACACACGCATAGCTCTCCCTCACTCAGTCAGTCTCGCTGTAACCACGCTTGTGTTGACATCAGCATTGTAGTTGCAAAAATATTACATTTACGTGAATGTATTATATCAAGCACAGCATGAATAGAATATCACTAATATAAGAGTATTTTAACCGAAAACTATTAAAAAAACGAGTAACATCTCTTGAACATTGGAAGGTTAGGTAAAGTCTTTTGTTTTCGTCATGTATTTTATCCTATTTTACATTGAAATACATCACGTTTCAGCAAAACTACTATTTATTTCTGAGAATATATTCATTCAGGCACAGTTTAGGTAAAATGTACATGTGCTGTAACATTTTTTTAATTGAAAACGATTCGAAAAAGACGTACCGTCTAGCCCTGTTCAAGGAGAAGACTGGGAGGAGCTGTTTGGTGCTTAAGACGATGACAAGGAAAATGATTTTGATGGATTTTAATGAAAATATTCAGAAAGACCCTGGCACTGTCAAGGAAAGTGGCTGATGAAGGCTTTCAGGACATGGCAGAGGACGAGATTAGGGAGCTAATTGAAGAGCACGACACTGAGCTGACCGAGGAGGATCTACAGGAGTTAGTAGACTCAGGCAAGGAAGAGGAAGAGGAAGCGAAAGAGGAAGAGGAAGAGCACCAAAAAATAACGTTGGAGAAGTTGGGGGAGATGACCAGGAATATTGAGGCACTGAAAAACCTGGCCTATAGTATGGACCCCTCCATGGTGCATGCCCTGAAATTCATGCGAGGGATGGATGACGTTTTTGCTCCATACAAAAACATCATGGAAGAAATGAAAACAAAGAGACGACAACTCCCCGTCACCATGTTCTTTGATCACCGAAGGAGAGATTTAACACCATCAATCACTGGCGGCAGTGAGGAAGCAGCTGAAACCACCGTCGCCCCCACTTCACCACCCGTTATGGAATTGAGTGACGATGAGCCCGATGACCCCCGTCCTGTCGCCGAGGATAGGTACTGTACAGTTGTACCCCACTTAACGCGGTCAATAGAACCCAGAGGGTCCCGTGTTAAGTGAAATCCGCGTTAAGTGAACAACAGAACATATGGGATTAATTCCAATAGAAACCAGCCCGACCCCCAAACTCCACTTTTTGAAGACGCATAACTATGTTGTAGTAAAAATAACATCTTAATCTTATGATGGTACATGCACACAATTAATACTTAAGAGAAATAGAGAAATACAGTAGCCAAGTTAATGTCCATTCAAATAATGGACTCGACTCCCTCCCCCTCTCACACTACACTCACTGGCTCTTCCCTCTGAGAAGTTTTGGGGGGAAAACCAGGTATAGTAATAAATAATTCCTCAAACTAAAGTTAGGATAATATAATTGACATTGCTGGATTCCTTGTAAGACCAGGAATATTTTGAATACAAATGTCATATATTTTTCACAAAAGATAACATATTTACTCAGAATAAACTTTACATCTAAAATTTGTATGTCTAATGCAAAATCTATGATGTTTATATTCAAAATGATCACCAAATTGTAAGAATTCCAGCAATGTAAATTATATTCTGGCCGGATAATTTGTATGAATTTTATGAGCTAAAACAAATATCTTCAGTTAATAAAAAAAAAAAATATTCTTCAGCGTCAGTCCCAACCCTCCCCCCCACCCCCCACCAATCCTCCCTTCAAGAGTTTTTAACATTTAGTATTAAATAATACCTCAGATTAAAGTTAGGATAATATAATTGACATTGCTGGATTCCTTGTAAGACCAGGAATATTTTGAATATAAATGTCATATATTTTTCACAAAAGATAACATATTTACTCAGAATAAACTTTACATCTAAAATTTGTATGTCTAATGCAAAATCTATGATGTTTATATTCAAAATGATCACCAAATTATAAGAATTCCAGCAATGTAAATTATATTCTGACCGGGTAATTTGTATGAATTTTATGAGCTAAAACAAATATCTTCAGTTAATAAAAAAAAAAAATATTCTTCACTGTAACAGATGGTCGGTCGGTCCCTCCCTCCCCCCACCCCCCCACCAACCGTCTCACCAGATGTGTGGGAAAACCAGAATATTTACCTTTTAGTAATAAATAATACCTCAAACTAAAGTTAGGATAATATAATTGACATTGCTGGATTCCTTGTAAGACCAGGAATATTTTGAATATAAATGTCATATATTTTTCACAAAAGATAACATATTTACTCAGAATAAACTTTACATCTAAAATTTGTATGTCTAATGCAAAATCTATGATGTTTATATTCAAAATGATCACCAAATTATAAGAATTCCAGCAATGTAAATTATATTCTGGCTGGGTAATTTGTATGAATTTTATGAGCTAAAACAGGCAGTCAGGCAGGGTGGCGGGTGGGGCGAATCTAAAAATAGCTCTCGAGCCGGACACTCACCGCTTATATGTGGAAAAAACCCGCGTTAAGTGAAAGTTCAGCTCTGGCGAGGCACCGCGTATATGGTAAAACGCGCTAAGTGAAACCGCGTTAGGCGGGGTAATACTGTACAGTAAAGTGAAATTTTTATCTTTTTTTTTTTAATAGCTTTTCTTGCCATGTTTATTGTTTGTAAAATTGCACAGCACAGTACAGTTCAGTACTGTACATAGGAAGTGGAGGTGCAGTTATTCACAAAACATTTGTGTTTGTTGTCGGCAGTAGTGACGGTGAGGAGGTGGAGGAGGCGGAGGAGGGAGCGGGGGGGGGAGCGAGTTGGGAGGAATGGTGACCTTGGACGCGGGAGGGGTGGAGATGCCAGCCAGTACATTACGGGTGTATTAATTGTTTTTATAGCTATTTGTGCATTTTAATATTAAATACTGTACTGTACATTACGTTTCAACGAAACTACCATTTATTTCTGAGAACATGGAAATGTAATATTTTTGCTGAAATGATGTATGTATTACAGTGGAAAGTGGGATAAAATTGTGACGAAAGCAATGACTTTCTCTTTCTTTCGTTCAAAAGATGTTACCGTAATCGCTTTTCGAATGGTTTTCAGTTGTGGGATTATAAGGCTAATGATAGGATAGAATATTATTGTA